TTGGAGGAGGATGTTGCTCATCTGGCGGTAGAGGGAGAGGATCTTGTCTTCGGGCATGGTTGGGTTGATAGTGTTTGGGGCTTCGGGGTCGGTGTCTGGGTCTGCGAGAAAGGTGGACAGGTGGACTAGGTTTGGGTGGTAGTCCATGATGATGAAGGGTCCGAGGCCGGTGGGATTTTGCGAGGCGGTGCCCGAGTGGTAGATGTGCGGGATGGGGATGGTGGTGTTTGCCGCGACGTAACGCATGAGGTTGACTTCAGCTTGGACTTTCTCTTCTCTCAGTTCCAGGCTGAAGCGCGGGAGCGGGACGCGCATCATGCCGTAGCTCTCGGGATCTTGGAACTCAATGACGAAGACGGCGTTGTAGCTCCCGCAGAGGGATGAGTGCCATTTCCCAGCTCTTCCGCCGTGGTACTTCTTGACTATGCGGATGATCTCTGTGCGCAACTCGGGATTCTGGATCTTTTCATTGACCCAGTCATATGACGCTTCTTGACGCTCTTCCACCATTTCATCTCCATACATGGCGACCTCGCGCGTCCGGCGATCCGGTCGAGGTTCCGGTGAAGGCTGTTCGGACATGGTGTGGGAAATTAAAGGTTGAGCACTTCGACCAAAAAGTTAGCATTGAACTTTCCTGTGTAATGTCGATTGCTCGTTGCTGATAAATGATGTTGTAGAATTGAACCAAGACGCCTCAAAACGCAGGAGTTTGTTGGTGTTGGTCCAGCACGCATTTGGGGCCCCTGGCCGAGAATTTGGCGCCGTATCATTGGGGCTGTGTTTTGCAGCCAACCCCCAAACTGTGCCCCCATCAAAACATGAGTGTTTCCCGGTTCGTCGTTCGTCAATAGCGGAACTCGATCCCGACAGTCTGGTTCAATGCACTTTGCCATGTCCGATCTGCGCTCAGGTCGTTGCACTGAAACAAGAAGCCGAACGCGCCGAGAAGAGGTGTGATATCTATGGAAGGCTCGCGTCCCAGCAGAAACTTGGAGAGTGGGAATCGGGGCCTAATCGAGCAGTGCAGAGTGACTTCCAACAGCATCATAGCATCTTAAACCCCTTTCTGGAAGTCGCATGATGCACCGCGGTGGGCTTCTCACCATCTTTGGACCTGTTGAAGACCTGTGTGAGCGTCTTTTTTGAGACCAACAGGCCTAGGACGCCACGAATAGTTCTGTTGACGTAAATTTTGATGCCAAAAATGGCTACATACCTAGAAAGCCTTGAAAGAGTCCTGAGATGTGTTGCGTATAAGAAGACAGTAAATCCAACCTAAGAAGAACCCGATTTTCTCACTCCAGCTCATCATTCGCACTTTTCCAGTCCGGCACTGAAACCTTACAAGATCGCATACCTCTATTTCAAACACCCAAGCAGCCTTCAAAATGTCCAGAAATCCCAGCCGCTCCAACTCTCCCGCCCCTCGCCAGAGCACCATCACCGAGAGCACCCTCTCCTCCGGGTTTGGTGATTATGGCTCCCCCGGAGTAGAAGGCTTTGCCCGCCCTCCTTCTCGCAGCTCTAGCACGGCTGCCCAGCGTGGAAGCGCCAGCACCTTCAGCAGCACTACTGCTCAGCGTGGAAGCACAACCACCACGGCTGGCCGCACCCCCTCAACTCCGGCGCGCCCAGCCTCTCCCGGTCCTCGACCAGGGAGCTCTGGCGGTGTTCGCCCAGGCAGTTCAGGTGGCGGTCGCCCAGGCAGCTCAGGCAGTGCAGGCTCCGGCGACTCCATCATTCCAACCGAGGGTAATGTGCCCGCAGCACTCCTCAACCGGGGCAAAAGGTCGCAGGAAGACAGGCAGAGGCTTGCCATTGGAGAGTCCAATGCTTCTATGCTGGATTCCCGTGGCCGTTCGGCTCGCCCCTCCCGTGACAGGAAGTCCAGAAAGGACGGCTCCAAGTCTTCTTCTCGCTCTCGCTAAGCAACTCGATGGGCTTGAGCGTGCAGGTGTCCGGCATTCAGAAAGGAACTTGATTTGATTTCCCGCTTGGATGGCGTATTAGGTTACATTTATCGCTTTGCTTTGTCGAGTTCGTTTTCGTTCTAGAATGGGTATGGATACATGGAGGAGGAGTTCTGGTTTGGGTGCTCGTTAGTGTCTGTGGTGTGGAAGAGATAACAATAGAAATTTGGGATGCCTTGCTGGACAAGGCTATGCAAACCAATCACCCGTTCCGTCTCTACGCCACCGAATGTGAATTGTTGCGCTGTACAGATGAGGTTACCACTCCGACTGCCTAGCTGGTCCTGTGGAGGGAGCCGGGCAAGGTCAAAAGAATTGCTGAGGCGCTAACCGCCATGTGTGTCGGAACACACATTTATCTGTTAGCGCGGTAGCACTTGCACCCAGTTATGGTGGCTGTGCTTAGGAGGCGGTGCTCCCGAACGCTGAGCTCATCAGCAACCTATGCGAGATCAACACTCACGAAAAAGCGCCAATCCACCCATGGTTCCCTTCCACAAGCCTTCATTCCCGGCGTTTCTTGACCACTTCGAACCACCACGACATCATGGAACGCCCAACCCGACGACCCACCCGGCATGCCGGCCCAGACAAGTCCTACTCAACCGATCTTGGCTCGACCTCTACCGGGCCGAGCCACTCAGCAACTGTGTCCACAATCGCCGAAGCTGGCGCCGAAATTGAGGCCAACCGGCAGCGGCGCCTCGAAGCCGAACAGGCGGCCGAGCGGGTCCGCCAAGATATTGAGCGGATCCTCCAGCGGGGTCCGCTATCGGAGGAGAGAATGGAGGAGCTGTCCATCGCGGCAGAGGAGTTTTATCGGCAGTCAATGGAAAGGAGAAGGAAGCGGCAGTTGAGAGAGCTGGCAATCGCTGCTGGAGTGTTTCTCGTGGCACTGGTTGCCTGGTGGGCTTGGTGGAGGATTGAATGGTGACTAGGATTATAATTCTCAATTCGCAAGGCTCCAGTGACGATGATCGATCGACGTAACGTCAATTCTCCCAGCTGGTAGGTAGGATCTAAGATGGTGTTTAAACGGTCTGGTAGTAGAATGGGTGTTCGTAGGAGGAATGGACGGTCGAGGGATCAACGTCTTCGAACAGGATCTGCTTGAAAAGTAGGGATCGCGTCGATGACGAGATTGCTAGTGCTGATCTTCTAGTCTTTTTTAAACAGAATCAGTCAGTGGGATCCTGTTTTTAGTAAGGTACATGTGGTAATACTAGCCGTCAGTGTAATGCGTGATGATGAATTCAAGGAGAAACTGTGGGGTAGTTGTTGCAGGAATAAAAATGACGCGGTTGCTCTGGTTGGAGTGTTTTTGTCAAGGAACGGAGCTCCTAAGGGCAGTGCCTTCCCGCCGGAATTCAGCTACAGTCGGGTGGTAGGCTAGCAGGATTGCACTCAGATGTCGCGCCGCCAAAGTAGGAGAAAGGGACTACCGCACCTACAGTACAGGTACTCCGGCTTCCGCCTTTTCATTATGCCATGCCCAGGCTCACCCTGGCCGCACGTTTGACGGTCCGCCCGAGCCGTACCTGACCTACTTCCAACCGTCAAAATTTCCATCGATTCTGGCCATACGTTACACGGGCAGGCAAGACACACAAAGCTCCTATGTGCACGATTTGTAGTTTTCTAGTCCTCCGCCATAGTCCCTGTCTCTCTGTCTCCTTTACTAACAGGCTTATGCACCGATCTATCAAAGTTTCTCGCGTTAGCATCGAATTCTATAGCTGCTCATGCGCCCAAAGGTCCCAAGAAGCGAAACTTTGACATACCTGCCAAACATCCAACCCAACCCCAACCTCATTCGGTCCTCCAGTGGCATACGCAACAGCCGAGTTCAACCACTCGTACTTTGGGCTCGCCGTCTCGAACAGGATGTGCACATGAGGCGCGTGTCCCTTCTCGAAGATCAAGATCGTGGCGTTGTCATCGGTGTGCAACGAGTAGAGGGCGTCTGGGCTGAACACACCCTGGCGTGAGGTCAGGCCCCAGTCGAGGCCCTTTCCAACTGTCCCTATTTGTGGTATTAGCGACACAACATTCGTTTAAACGGGTCGCAGTTCCTACCACTGATCTTCGGGCCTACAGCATTCCCGCCCGAGATTGTCAATAGATCCCTTGTGCCGTAGGGGACAGAACCGATGGAAATGGGTTCCGCGAAGGTCAGGTTAACGCTGAAGAGGTAGGTTAGGGTCGGAGGGGCGGGATCGACAGCTAGCGCTGCCACAGCGAGGGCACAGAGGGCAGATAAACTACTAAGGGATAACATGATGGTCACTGAGCGCTGACTAGGTAACAAAGGGTTGGTTTGGAGCCAACTCCACAGCTCAGAAAGGAAGGAACAATGATCATTTATGCTTGCTGTTTTTCATGTGCCCCTGTCAGCACTACGAGCCGCCACCTCATATCCTCCCGCGTTCGCACAACAGAGTAGCTAACGGCTAAACTGGAACCGCAACAGAACCCTGCAGTGATTAGGTGCCCTCTTTTGCCTGAAGCAACCAGCGCATACATCGCAGTCAGATCTGTCTCGCACATCACCGGGAATCCCAAGAGTCCGAGGAGATAGATCACCTCGAGATGAGATCGCCTTGTTCCTGCAGGTAATATCTGAAGCGAGTCGGTTCCTACATACATCCGTGGGACAGTTGGGCCTAGAAGTTCCTATCAATATGCCAAATATCATCAGGGAACAGCTAAAACAATTCATGAGGATACATTATCGCATGCGCAAAAGAAATCGAAGTCAATTGACCGTCTCCTCTACTAAACGCTCAAAGCTATGGATGCCAAAGATAGGAATCCCGTTCCCATCCTATGCGACCAGCCTCAGGTCAGCCACTCCACTCCCATAAATTCCTTGCCCATTCCAGACGGGTGTCGACATGCCCCCAAATAGCACCCGATCCTCCTCCCCCAGATCTCAATCAGATACCATCAGTTCCATGCCTACTCATCCATCTCTCAAGCAAGATCCATATCATCGCCATTGTTGGTATTCCCCGGTAGTCAATGAATTTAGAGCCAGACCCAAGAACCCTGGATGCGGCCACGGCCGAGATCAGCGAGCTGCGAGAAGGCAGCGGGGCTGAGATCCAAGCTGCCGGCGGAGCAGGCAGGGCAGCGGTCGATAACGGCGACCTTGACGGACTTGCCCTCGAAGCTGGCGCGGAGGCGGCGACCGCAGAGGGGGTTGTTGTTGGGGTTGCCGCCAGGGGTCTGGGGGTCGAAGTCGGCGTGGGAGAGGGCGACGACGAACTCGCTGTCCTGGTGGAGCTGGCCGCAGGCGCCGAGGCCGGCAGAGGGGCCTGTCTAGGTAGTGGTTAGTAACTGGCATTTAGAGTTGTTTGAGATATAGAGTGGACATGCTGTAGTGGGTGAAGTCACCGGAGGCGGCGGCGGCAGCGTTGGTAGGGGCAGCCATGGCAGAAGAGGCGAAGATGGCGACGAGACCAGCAGCGAAGGTGGTGAAAGAGACCATTTTGACGGTTGTGGAAGGTTGGTTGTTTGTGAGTGGTGAAGGTGAGTTGTGAGAGTTGCTTGAGAGGTCTCAAAGAGTGAAGTGATTGATGTTGCTGCGTGGTGAAGAAGAGAAAGGGGAGGCAATAGAGGTAGGAGAACGATGTCTTTATTGGTTTCTGGAAGAAGTCTCTGGCGGAGGGCGTCGAAGGTCATGATGGGTCATCTGGAGCCCATCCGTACGTACCCCACTGCTTGGGTTAAAGGAAAGGAGCGGTATTACAGGAGATAGTGGGTCTGTACTTGGGATGAGGCCGGCTATCTCTATCACGAGGTCTCTTTCGGGAGCCATAGGGGGTCATTCCGTTTGCTGCGCCAAGTTCATTACTTGTGATGATCGCCTGTAGTCTTTGTTTCGGAGCTCCTCGAGGTCACGGCAGCCTCAGCCCAATGGAGATCGAGATATCAACAAATTCCAGTACAACGGAATGCAGTGGTCATTTAGTATCTGAGACCCTGCACATTCATTTCTAGTTGCTCCTCCTTTTCCGCCGACAGTCACACCCTGCCGTTTGGGGCCGTAAGACCCCGCCTGACACTCTGTTGAATCCCGATATCCAGAGCTCTGCTCCGGCTTGCTGGAGCAAATGGCAGAAGAATGAAGAAGGGAATCAGATCGTTTGGGGACCTCGTCTGTTGAGGGTGTCATCTTTCAGCTTGGAGCTCTCATCCGGTTGCTGATAGCTCACGAGAGACTCGAGCGTGGGTTAGGGTTGATACCTCAAGCCCCTTTTTCTTTGTTTACAGCTGTGGATCCATACTTCCATCACGACGGCAACGTCCCTTTTGCTGATGTGACACTAGACGTAGAACCATTTCAGGGACTTCTTCAACAACGTTGGTCTAAGTTCTGACCATGTATCCAATGCTACGATCGATCTTTGATACTATTCCACCACGATATACCCAACCTAACCATTATCCATTCAGCGCCGCCTCCAGCGTCATCTTACCCCAAAGCCAGTCATCCACCTCCGACCCCTCCATCCTCGCCACCTCATCAGGGGGAGACCTACCCCTCAACTGCCACGACGCATGCTGAGAAGGGTTCTCCACATACCCCCTCAACTTCGCAACCTCAAGACTATCCTCCCCCTCAATTACAACCCTAACATCGAGCGCCCGCTGAGCAAAGATCTTGGCCCTCCTCTCATCCGCATACATGCACGCAATCTGAAACGCAACAACATGCACCTTCGGAATCGACTGATCCCAGATCCCCTCCTCCCTAAAAACCGCAAATATCTCCCGCAACAGCGCCAGCGCCTTTGCGTAATAGAAGGTCCCATTACCATCCTCGAGTTCATGCTCAATCGCCGCAATCTCCAACAAGCGCATATCGCTCTCCTCGCTCGCCCCCGGCGACAAGCCACACAGCTCACACTCGCAGTGAAAGAAGAAGCAATCCTCCAGAAACTTTTGGCGGTGCACCCGCGGTCCAGTCTGCGTCATGTACGAAACGGTGAGCTCCTCCCCGTCTTGAATATCCCTCAGCGCGTGGATGGTCAACCGCTCGGTCTTGTTATTCCAATTGTAATGTGTGTTGGGCCGGCAAGAGTGATTCATGCAAGACATCTCAAGGAACAGCCCACCCTCCGGTTCGTGGGTGCCAAAGAGGAGGACGTTGGTTTTGGCGATGCCGAAGATAGGCCTGACACCCGATTCTTTGCTGTACGAGTTGCGCAGGGAGACGTAGGCACGCTTCTGGTCCTTGGTTAGGTGGTGAAGCTCCGAGACGATGAGCGCTTCTAAGACGTCGGGACGTATTTCGACAGATGAGACCTGGAATAAGGGCGCTTCGGAGAGGATGCGGGTTCCTTTGGGGATTTTGGAGGTGGCGATGAGTCCTTTGCCTTTGCCAGGGACTTCGCGCATGACGTAGGGTTTTGTGGCGGCTTTCTCCATTGTGACTTGGAGATGTCCGGAACGTCGATCGATTGAGAGCGTAGCGAAGTCACCTCCTGTCAAGCAATCGATAGTGATCTTGAGAACCTGGGGAGGACAAGAGGGGAGTCGGGATGCTGAAAAAGGAAGTATTTGTGGCCCGTTCTTGATATTTCAGTATCGGCTATGTAGCAGGGAGGAGCAAGAAGGTGTTCAGCCCATCGGCAGGCCAGAAGTCTTTTATGTTGGCAGAAGGGATCAAACCATCTTTCACTCGAGTCGGAGACGTGCCTTTGTTTGCTACCAAATACCGGTGGATGTTTGCCAACAAAATTCAGACTGATCTTGTCGGCCCTGTTCAGGTCAATCTTAGTGTACCCATCCATAGATAGGTATGTAAGAAAGAGTAGCACAGGGAATGCGCTTACGCCGTAAGGTCGATCAGAAATACCCAGTGGTTGCAACCTAGGGTCTGGGAACACATATTTGTATTTGAGTCCTCTAGTCTGATCAATATCTCCATCTTATCTCACTGATTTCTTCGGAACGCCTCCTACGCCCCCATTGATCAAGGTGCAATTTGTGATATTCCTTATCCTGAGTCCAATCGTCACAATTGCAGACGTACGCGAACTCGATCCTCAATGCACAATCTTCAAATGACGCCAGTATAGATCCTTGAGAGGCTTTATCTAACCACCCAGCACATTTACATTTCGGGATATTGTCATATCGAACTCGTGGGTATCGCTGGTGGTTGAGGGGAGGGGTCGGTTCGACACTTCTTGGTTGGAGAAGGAAACCTCAGGAATGCCAGAAGAAAGCTGATTATCTTCCTGCGTCGGCGTACCCGCGATAATAGATAACTGTTGAGATTGCCCTGCGTGGGATTCAACCACCTTGGCTTGCTTTGGTAACCCGACTTCAGGAGATGGCTTCTCGCCTCGGCCCCTCTTTGGTCGACCGCAAGCATCAAAATGCTGTTCGTGGTATGCTCTGTCTTGTGTAGAATCACCACGACTGCATGTGTACCAACCACGGACATGGCAATCCTGGAGATGTCGACAGTGCATATCTTTTCGGGTTACTATATGGTTGCAGGCGCACTCATACTTTGGGACGCCCGTGAGATGTTTTTCAGAGAGAAGGTGGCGGTACCAGCTCTCCGGATTAGCGAAGTTTTCATTGCCAGTATTCCAGAAGAAAACCGGTTGTGTAGAACAATCTTGCAGCAGCCATTTCAGTAGCGGGAAGCTGTAAGGAGTGTGAACGAGCCCCTCACCCACCGGCAAGCTGCTGCAGGAAGGCTTGAAGCGCAAAGGGAGGGGCCAGGGATCAAGAATTGGGCAGATTCCCCAACCCCCGTGAGCGGCAAGACGTTCGAAGGGCTGTAACTTCCAGGTGCAGTATACAGCCCAGCCTGCCGGTATTCTGCCGGCCAATCAACAGGAATGTTAGAAGTAATCGAAGAGAGGCGTTTGTAGGGATCGCAGCTTGTCAGCCCACTGACATCCGTCGGGTATTTCTTGTCCCAGATCAGATCACCTTCCCGGTCTTCGGGTACATTGGTTCCAAAGCTGGGTAAGCAGGTTGTCAATACGTAATATACAAATGCTGTGCCCCTGATCCCATGGCGACGTACCCGTCATTCTCCATTCCAACCATATATGACATGGACTGTCCGCAACCAATATTTAGCTGCACCAGACGCCGATTAGTCGGGACGATTCATAAGCACCATTCGATATGCATAGATACATTCTGATCCCAACCCGAATACTCGTCCTGTTGGGATCTCTTTGATGATGATGAGACTTCCTTATCAGAATTCTCCACTCCGTAGTTGTCTTTATGGTGGCGAAGTGCAAGCAAGGCAACTTCTTCATGATGGCGTCCGATATGTCGTGTATAGTCCCTCAGGCCAGATAGTTGTTCTTGACACAGGAGGCAAATGGAAACTGTCTCAGAAGCATGCGGGATTCCTCTCAGAGCTTTCTCGACCTCATAACTTTCTGAGCGCAAGGTGTCATGGGCATTGTCTATATGTTCCTTGAGCATCCTCACTGATAAAAGCGTCTCGTTGCATTCGAATGGGCAGAACCAGGAGCGCCAGTGCTGACTTTCGACATGATTTACCCATTCTTGACGTGTGGTATAGTGTGTTTTTGCAGTTTTGCAATCCGGCTCTATGCATACATAAGGCTTGAGGTCGCCAAACACATGTCTTCTGTAATGTTGTGTCGAGGGAAATCTTTTGCCATTTCGGACTCGCTCAGGGGGTGTCACAATAGCAAGAGGCACCCCACCCTCTTTGCTGTTTATGTTATTTTCAGTTACACGCTGGTCGAAAATGGAAATGAGAAATAAAATCGGCGGCGAAAAGATACTTAGGGCTTCAGGTCAATACAAACAGCGTAACGGGCTGAGCCCTGTGGTGGCCTCGGCAACCCGCGGCCGTGGTGGAACTGCCGGGTAGGGCGTGGTTTCACCGACAACCCCTGATGAAGCTATTCCCACTTCGCGGGTAGCGCGTGCGCGCCATACTGTCTTATATGACTAGACCTATAGAAGCGTGCCTTTTAATTTCTCGGGGTGAACCTCGCCGCGGTAGTTACATGTGAGGGCTTGATCACTCTGCGCACGCGAGCCTCGAACTCCTTAGCGAACTAGGTGAATCTCCTGATAACCCGCAGGTTATTTTACGACTTTCTCTCAGCTAATCTGAGCTTCCTAGTATCAAGCGCAGTCGCGCCCTGAAATCGATTCTTCGCCGTAAGCCCAGGCAGGTTTTCCATTGAACCACTCAAAATACAAGGGCCTTTGGCCCCTTTTTAGCGCCGCTCACAGTGAACCCTAACCCTCACAGCGCTTCAGACCCAAACGCATCTAGCAGCATCCAGAAGCCAACTCTATCAAGACCCCTATCAAGCATTGCGACTAGTGCGCAAATGAAGCCCAGCCCGAGATTTGGTGAGCGGCCGGTGATGGGGGTAATTGGGTCACGATCGAGGCCTGATGCTGGACCAGGTTTCTGGATGGTCATATGACGCAGCAATATGGAACCTACCAGGATCTGTGCCAATGTGTCGATACGACATATTACGACCGTCAACGGAGTTCATGGCTTAGCTAGCCCTCAAGCTCTCGCTAGAGATGACGTGTGGCTACAACGCCCCGAAGCTTGGTAGGGTCAATGGAACGTCGGTTAAACAGAAATCGGGCAACTGACTGGGGACAGATTGTCGACTTGGTCCACACCAGAGGTGAATACGAGGGCCGAGTCCACCAATCATCCTCGTTATCGCTTTGCACCTAGGTATTTACACCGGTAATTAAATGCTGCGGTCCTGCTTTGTTTCTCTAGTACTTTCACTTTTAAGCAATAGTCCTTCGCAATCGGCTCAAGCACAAGATAACTGGCTCACACTCACTAGACTGAACAACTTTCAAACCACATATTCAATTCACGGCACTCCAGCCCGCCAATTGCCAAAATGAAGCTCTCACTTCTTGCACTGGCCAGTGCTGCTTCCGCGGCTGTCATCACCACGCGCGATGTTGTTTTCGAAGCCCGCAACTTCACCGCCAGCTGCGTCCCTCACAGCGTCATGTGCTTGTAAGCATTTCGCCCCCCTTGAACTCTCACCACAATTCCTTCCTATCCAACACGTTAATATTAACACGAGACAGCTACTCCCTAAATGCCTTCATGCCCGGAACCATGGACACCCTAGGCTATAACTGCACCGCCTCCGGTGTGGGTGGCCTGGGAATCCTCCCCGAGATCAAAGGCGGCACCTGCCCTCCCTCATCGCGTACTTTCGACGTCCTCCGAAACGCGACCGGTATGACCGTCATCGTCAGTGTTCAAGTCTCTCGTCTTAGCTACACCAGGGGCGCGCATTTTATCCCCAGTGAGCAGATCCAGATCATCAAGGGCGTTACTCCGACTGGGGATTACACGGCCTATGTTGGACCCAAGGACTTTCCGCTGGAGCGGATATGGTAGTGCAGGGATGATGGACGTTGAATGCGGGGCATAGGTATGCAAGATGCTCGTGATCATGCAGCACATTGTCACCTGTGGATCTCAGCTGGGTGCAGACGTCATGATAACATGTATTACCTCGTACTCGACCCCGCAGTAGAACCAAAAATGAAAAAAATTGAAAATAAAAATCGAAAGAACAAAAAGGCAAACAGAACACACTGCCTGGTTGCTCGAAGGAGATGACTTGGAGCTCCCATGGTGAGATTGACTGGAATCTAACAGTTACCAAACGCAACAATAGTGAGTGTTCCACCGCTGGTAGTCAAATGCTTGGCCTAAAATAAAGAAAGTAAAGGTTTGCACTACCGTAAAATCTCGCGAAAGTCGGATTTTCCTTGTGGCTGGACCTAATAGATGAGCGAATCGTGGTTTTCGGCGATAAGTCTGAGTAGTGTGGAGCAGAATGGCATCTCAGATATCACGGCAAGGCTCGTGTGAGCAGTATGGAGTTGATGGGAGAGCTGTGTACTGGGGTGGTAGTTAAGGTGGATGCTTGAGAGCTTAGTAAGTGGATGCGAGTGTTGCTATTTGTCCTGCACCTTAAGAATGTACGTAAGGATTAACATCAGCTTAGTACCCCAAGGCATTAATTACTATAAAAACTAAGAACAGCCAGCAACATTTGGGTTTACCTGAGTCCTAAGTATCTTTTAACCGCCAATTCTATTTCCGATTTCCATTTTTGACCAGCGCTTAGACTACATGTAAGAGCATCCTTGTCACTGCACAATCGAGGGGAGTGAAGCGTATTAGACCGGCGGAGAACTTGTCCCCACATTTTGGCAGTATGTCTTCCGAAACCAGAACCAAATTTCCCTAGAAGTGACACTCTGGATGTTCAGACTCCGTTAGCGACGGTCAAAGGTATAATGGGGGCGGCAAGATTTACCTCCAGGCTTTGACACTGGTAGTGGTCATAAGCATGAAACAACATGGACATCTGAATCGGCCACTTTCGGCACCGGCTGGTATAGCTGGCATCTGGAATCCACCAACGGAAAGAGTTGGGCCGTCTGGAGTAAGTGCACTGCTAGTCTCCGAGTGCTGGTCTTCGTCTACAATTGGCTTGTCCGAGGAAGAGATTATCAGTTCCTTTAGATCCAAAAAGATGGAAGGGGTAACCGTGCTCTTTCCCTTGTCTCCTGAGATGGGTTCATCCAGTCCACAAGCAAGGCTTTGGTGGAGTGTCTCTCTGTAAAGAAAATATTGCCTCCTGCGGGCGTTGGCCAATCCTAAACGCGAATAACGTCATTGGTGGCCAAGGGAAACTTCTTGCTGACATGTTGTATGTCGAATGGTAGCATCGAAGACACAGAAATAGGCGATTTGTGTTTCAACCGATCGTGAGGTGCTGGATTATGGATTGGCAAAGTCAAGCGAAACAAACAGTTGATGATTTCGAGAATGCCTCGCGAGATCTGAGCCAGTTCGGTATCATCGGTTTCATATGGAGAAGTGGGTGTCTTTCCTTTAGTTTCCTGAAACTCCTCAAAATCCGGATCATCGAAGGTCTCTTGTGTTTCTTGCACCTCCCACGGCGTAGTTCCTGTAAACAGTTCTGGATCTTTGGGGCGATTGGCTCCATTGATACGGTCGTGCAAAGAGAAATAGAACGATGAAGCAGCAACAGCAAGCAAGTCGCGACATGAGTTGAAAGGGAGGCGGGGTCGTTCAAAACCGGTCCAAAGAGCCCAGCAGGGGATAGGCGGAGTGTCGAGGACGATAGGGCATCCATGAGATAGCTGCCTAATGTGAGGTGTGGGTGGTGAGGGGACACATCTCCCGCCAGTCCGCGACGGGTTGCTCTTTCCTTCTGACCCAGCCACCGGAATTCACGGTCGTGCGCTTTACGCCACCCATTATTCATCCACTGAATCGAGTCCATCATGTCTGGCTTCGAAGTTGTGGGCGTTGTTCTGGCAAGCCTTCCCATCGTCGTTGCTGTTCAACAATCATACGCCAACTCCATTACCACTTGGAGAAAGTACCATCGAAAAGCGAAAATGCTAATGCGCACACTGGAAACGGACCATACGAGACTAGAAAACATTTTGGAGATGTTGCTGATAGGGAATGCTCCCGATGATCAGATGGAAGAGATGGTCAAGGATCCATTTGGGCCGTTGTGGAAAGATCCGATCATCCACAGCAAGGTCAGGGGTTGGCTGTGGAAATCACATGGTGTGTTCGAACAAAACATTCAAGACCTGAAGGAAGCTGTGGAGGAGATCCAAGAAAAGCTAAAGATTGAGAGAGACGATAAAGTAAGGTATCTAATCGAATCTATTTAATCAAGTGCTAACTTCCAGGGAGATTGGAAAGACACCATGAACATCAAGCTGCACTTCAACCGTGTGACGTTTCTGCTCTACCAGTCAACCTACCAAGCTACCAAGATCTCATTGACCGAATAAGACACGCCGTTTCGAGTCTTGAAAGTGTCATGTCTTCCAATGCGAAGTTGGGGCCAGAACGCCAGCAACGATCGCAGCGCAAAATTCTCAAACTTGGCCGCCGCATAGCGAACAGTCTGCTTGATGCTTTTCGCTTAGCGATTTCTTGTGACTGCCAGGTACCGCACGACGTGGGTGTGCAGTTGTCGCGCACCCCAATCACCGTGCCCGGAGACGACGATGACATGATTCTTACCAGTCTTGAATTCCACGTGGTCCTATCATACGCAGCGCCGAATCAAGATTCACATCAACCAGACAACCCATCCGGGATAATATGCAACAAGAAATGGCGTGAGCTTCTCGTTCAACAGGAAGCTCGCCTCCCCAGGCTGGCAACAGCACCCTCTCCAAACATCCTTCCCCTCCAGTCTGCTAGAGGCAGAAGTGTCAGATTTATGACGGAGACGGGCTTGGAACCCGAGAGTCCTTCAACTGGTCAGACATTTCCCCATGCATCATTTCGCTCAAGCGTCCGGTTTGCTTCTCGCACTTGCAATTCTCCGTCCATGACGTTGAGGAGAGCAACCCCATCCTCAAATTCCAGAGTCGACTGTCTGCCCGGTTTAGCGACAACATCTACAGCAACCCCCACGATACAAGAATTGTGCGGAATGATGCGTAAGATTGGGAATCAACGGGTCGGGGAATGCTGTGGCTGTATATTTGACTCTCTGTATATTTGACTCTCTTACTCCGAGAGGAAACACATACAACATCCGCCCCCACAGTAGCCTTGGGGAGAAAGAGAGCTGGTCCTTGGTCTCCTTGAAGATAGTTTTGTCTGATACTCAGCGACGACAGCTTGCTATCAACAACCTCTCAAACAGGGCAAAACTCAAGCTGGCAGCGGCTCTCGTCTCCAACATCCTCCAACTATACGATACACCCTGGCTTTCTCACCCACCAACACATGCTGGTATATTTGTAGCCCTGCACCAAGGCGTGTACTTGTTCCAGCAGGGCTTCGTGCTAAAAAAGCTCCCGGCCACAACAAGCCCCGCAAATATAATACCCACGCCCTCCACTAAAAATCCCATACTCTTCGCCTTGGGGGTTCTCCTGATGGAGCTTATGTTGAACGAAACCATCAAAGAAGTCACGCGAAGCCAAGAGGTGCCATTACTGGATACGGTCAACACCCGGTGCGGCAACAATTACTCTGATGCTGTCTGACTGTGCCTAGAATCTGACAACGACTATGTGACAGGAGGTTGTGGTATGGATGATGTGGTTTTCAGAGGAAGGCCTTGGCGGTTATGAACAGCGTCTTGGGATGTTCCTGTCCGGGGCCAGCCCCACTCCTCGGCGTGAGACAGCAAGGCTCGGGCAACTGCATTCTACCCAGCTCCCCTTGCAAAGCGTCGAACATTACCATGGAGACACAATAACAACTGTTATGAAACGGTATTTTAGTGCACAGAATAACAAGGAGCCAGCACCTTTGTCACGATGGGAGTGTGTGTGCGAGTGGGCAGAAAGTGAAAGCTTCCACGGCAGCACCACACCAACGGTGGGCAGAGTTGTGACTTGCCCCCCGACCGTTGAAAGCTTTCGACTCATATCCACCAAGTTGAATGTGTGCCGAGTATCTATACTTGAACCACAATCTTTTATTTATTAATACTGTCGAGCCTCCACCACCTAGGCACCTCTTAGTGGTGCGAATATGATCTGGACCGCCTGGATCGTCTCGCCTGGAAATCAACCGATTGGACGACAGGGTAAAGACCAGCACTCTGTGCAAGTGCCGATTTATCAAAGCCCCTACGGACAAGCATTGGATATTGTGATTAGATTAACCAGGATGTATCACCAAGATAATGATTGACACCCCAGTTCTCCGGTTGAGTTCAGAACTGGGTATAAACCCACTGTTGCCTGTCGGTAAGAGATCCGAGTCCGTTCCCTCCATCAGCCAAAATAATAATCCATCATTCAGAGAGGTTTTTAGTTACTCGTCACCAGACCGTCATGGCTTGGTCCATCCTAGCGCTCGCCGCGCTCTTTGTAGGCGCGGAAGCAGCCACCCTCGACCTTCGCCAAAGCGCCCGCGGTTCCGACTTCCTCCGCTTCAGCTGCTCCCAGCTCGTCGTCGAGCGCGCCGACCCCATCGTCAACCCCGGCCAGCTCTTCTCTCCTCATATGCATCAGATCGTCGGTGGTAATTCCTTCAACGTGACCATGGATCCAGCTACCATCGACCCTCCTAAGCAGTCCAAGTGCACCTCCTGCCGCATGGTCGAAGACTTCAGCAATTACTGGACCGCCTCCATCTACTTCCAGTCCCCCGAAAACGGAACCTTCAAGCGTATCCCACAGATGGCCAACGGTCAGCTCAATGGTACCATCATGGACCAGACAGGCGGCATCACCGTCTACTACATGCGCCCCTTCAGCGGGTCCAATAAGAAGACGACTGTCTTCTCCCCCGGGTTCAGGATGATCGCCGGCAACCCGGTCAACAGAAACAAGGGCACTGGTCCCCTAGTCAACTGCCATCGCTGTCTCGCCAAAAACGACCGGATAAGTGGCGGCAACGGAGCGCCCTGCGATAGGTCTGACACCGCCGAGTTCCCAAACAAGCCCTGCCCCGGGGGCATCCGAGTAACAACCATCTTCCCCTCCTGCTGGGACGGCAAAAACGTCGACAGCCCTGACCATCAAAGCCACGTCGCTTACGCCCCAGGAAACCAAGCCCTTGCTGGTGACCGCTGCCCTGCCTCGCACCCGGTGAGGATTCCGCAGGTCATGTACGAAGTCATGTATGACACTTCTGGCCCGTTCGCCAACCCAGACTACTACAAGAACGGGAAGCAGCCGTTGGTGTACAGCTTTGGTGACAAGACTGGGTATGGAGCTCATGGGGATTACTTGTTTGGTTGGGAGGATGGTGCATTGCAGAGGGCGATGGACGGGCTGGGGACGAACTGTTTTAGCGAGCAGTGTCCTGCGCTGAAGTTGCAAACTCCACAGGCGGCGAATGAGTGTACCAAGCAACAGCAGAGTCGGGAGGATGTTGGGACTAGTACTTGTGAGTTTGTTGAGTCTTTCAATTGGTGGAATTGATGCTAACGTGATCGTGTGTAGGGCTGAAGGAACTTCCCGGTGGTGTTCAGGTGTATTAAGAACGGAGTGCTTCGAAACTTGTCATGGCTAATGTATGGACTTGCTCGATTGTTCAGAGGAGAATGTATTCAGATTGGGATAACTTACCTATCTGTGTCTGTGATTCGTGGTGTCTGTGGTAGAACACGTGCGTAGACCGGCATGTTTTAACCGGTTCTTCGAGACAAAGGTTCAGCAGGCGACCGGCTTGCAATCGCCGGTTAGAGCCCCGCAAGGCAGCCCTATAACTAGCTGGAATTGGAGAATTCCCACTGCGGGTACTGAAATGGTGAGAAAACTCATAAACAACCACAACATCACAACAAGCCCTCGCAATGGCTGAAAATACACGCCTTTCGTGACAGTGGCTCGCTCATAGGCCGCACTTCACGAAAGACAGAAAATAGACACTATGGGCTCGCAAACCACATAATACACACCGTATCACCCTGATCAGAAGGCCAAAATAGGCCTGCACGCGTGTAAGACACCAAAAGTAAAAGAATAAAGAGTTGATGACCTGTCTAAGGTAAAATGCGAGCAAATGGCTACTTTTATACATGACCTCTAAACCCCCTGAGAGTCTCTCCTGAACCACACTGCCACCCATGGACCCACTGGCCACTGCCCAGACCCCAGACCAGTACTTGGCTTTTCCCATTCAGCATCAACAACTCCCTAGACCCAAAATGACCCTCCCACCACCTCTCGGACGCCTCCGTCTCGCCTCCCCAGAGAACATCCTCCGCCTAGGAGTTGTCTGCACCTCCGGCTTCCGCTACTCGGAGCACTTCATCTGGGAACGCACAGCCCACGACCGGCATCCCCGAAGCACAGTCACCTTTTTCAGACATGAAGTCGCCGAGTTCATCAAAAACCCCGAGTTCATCGCTCTCGTTGCTGTCGATGCCTACGACCCTGATGAATCCTCCAAACCCGAAGCAATCAAACCCGTTGATAACGGTTGGACACCGCCGCCAGCCGGGATACCCGTGGTAGTTGGCTTGGGGATTTGGAGACTGCAGCCTGGCTCCTCCAGAGTTGGAAGTATCAGAATGAAACGGGTAGGTATGCTCCTCGTAGGGACCAAGACTTCGCTGTTCTAATTGAAGTGGAATAGGCCCGTACCCGGAGTTACCGGACCATAACTTTAAGGGCCTTAACCAAAAGCGCTCCAAGGCGTTCGAGGATGCCGCTATCGAGGTAGGTAAGCGGTACGCACTTGTACCTCTACACCCTAAAATAAAACAATATCCAATAGTCTAGTACAAATACTTCGACAGCCTTTCAAATATAAAGCGTATGATGGTTCAGCTAACCTATTAGGGACGTAATTATAGTTTCACGATTGCAAAGTGGAGTGTTAAGCTTACGGATATTAATAATGATAACTAAAGAATATTAATTATAACGTGCATGATAAGCGAGCGCCGCAGATAAGCGAGCGCCGCACTTTTCGCCGCGACCTAACCCTCCACCTTTAACATTCCATTTCTGAACTAAAAACCATGTCTTTTACCTCTAACGAAGCTAAAGTAATTTTAGCCGCTAAAGCTATAAAAAACAATAAAAACCTAAATAAACGAGCCGCAGCGAAGATCTATAAAGTTAACGATAGAACTATTTGCGTTAATTTATTAGTATATTTATACGACGTAATACTTTAATTAATTCGTATAAATTTATAAATTTAAAAGAAAAAACGATTATTTAATATATAATTAAATTATTTATACGCGTATTTTATTTCCGGCTTTGGTATATAAAAAATATAGTTAATCGATTATTACGTACACGTAACGCGCTTCCTATTAATATATAATAAGCGTATAATTTCGTTAAACGTTAGTTAGAACTTCGCACGTATTTTACGTATAAATATAATTATTAAAGGGCTAAATATAAAAATATAAAAGTTATTAATAAATAATTTATTTTTATACGGAATATTAAAGTTAAATATAATATTATAAATAATAATATTTATAATTTTAATAAAATTAAATTTAATAATAAATATTATTATAATTGTTATAATTATTATAATTATTATAATTATTATAATTATTATAATTATTATAATTATTATAATTATTATAATTATTATAATTTTTAATAACCGTAATAAAATTAAATAAATTTAATTTAATAATCGTAAGTAAATTATAATTATTTAAAATATAAATATTTTAAATTAAATTATTTTAATATTTATTATTTTAATTAAATAATATTATTTTATTAATTAATATTAAAAGTATAGCCTTTCGGTTATTTAATATATTATAATAATTAATAATAATTAAATTATTAATAAAGAAAGTATAAATTAAATTTAGTATTTCGATTTTTATACGATATTTCGTACGAAAAGTAAATATTAATTATTAATCTTTAATAATTATAAAAATTATTATTCCGAAAAATTCGAAATTTATTATTAAAAATATAATATTATTATATTATATATACTTCTATAATTTTTTTATATATTTTAATTATTAAATATTAATTATTTTATATTATTAAAGAAAGGATATAATTATTAAATTAAATAATTAATATAAATAAATATTATATATATTAGTAAATTAAAGTTTTTTTATATATTTAAAAAAATATTTTTTATTGTAATTATAAAAAGAAATATTTAAAAAGATTTTACTAAAATTAATTTTATATTATATAATTTAAAAAGAGTAATATTTAAATTAAATATATATATTTAGACTTTAATATCCTTAACCTTAAATTTAATTACGGTATTACTTTAAGTCTTTTAAACGTTATATAACCCTCGAAAAGTTACTTTATAATTAACGTTTATTAAAATTCGAATTTCTAATTATTAAAATAACTTTTAAACTTTAATATTAACCCCTATAAATTAATTTATTAAGGAAGCAATAAATATAATATATAAGATAACTCTTTTCTATATAAAAATCTTTCCGTTACGTAAAACTAATAAGAAACTTAATAAAAAACGGAGAACTAAAAAAATATATACATAGCTTAAAAAGTTATTTATTATATAAGAGGTATAGAATCTACTAGATCAAAAGGCTATAGGTGAGCAGGTAGCCTAGGAAATACAATAAAGTGGTGGTGGTGTAGGGAGGTCTCGTACGAAGATTCGGTGCTGTAGCGTGTGCGGTAAGTCTAGCCATAATACACGTACATGCTAGGAGGCTGCAGAATCATCTGATTTATCTATTTCTAGTTCAGTTATCGTTATTTCCTAGTATTATGGTTATGTAATTGAGGATAGCTGTGGTAGGGTAGTAGAAAGTGCGGCGCTCGCTTGTCTGCGGCGCTCGCTTATCATGCACGTTATTCGGTACAAATAAATTATTGATTTCTTTGCAAAAGGGTAACAATTGGAATTTAAATGGGGTTATTTCGTGATAGCCCTAGGAGGTAGATGATTTAATTGGGTTTGGGAAGATGCGAGTTGATTAACCTTCTGCAAGGTATATTGTTATCGGTATCTGAACGTTTAAAAAATTTCTCTCCCGGCAATTATATATTAGACCGTTGGTTATTCGTCTTTATGTAACCCCGACATCCACGTACAGTGGCAGATGTCTTCACTGCCGGACCATGGTCCGGCATAATGTAGGTAATACAATAATCCTTAGGTTGCTGATCGAGGCGTAGTTCCTTATCTTGGTGAGCGTGCTTCTCTGTATCAAGATCAAGCTCAGGCAAAGTACAACGAGTACACCGGGTGTGGCGACGACGACAGAGACCCAAAGTTCAACCTTGTATCGTAGCTATCTACGTGACACCAGTAGCCCATTGTATTATCATTTCCTCCGTAACCACCTCGGAAGCCTCATCCCTATCCCTCACCATCTCCTCCACCCCCAACCCCGAAACCTGACTCCTCTCCCCCATCCTCACCCCCATCCCCTGCATCAACCTCGCATATCCCATCGTTTTCCCCTTTCACTCCCCCTTTCCCAACCTGCCCGCCACAAAGTCAGCATACACCACCGCATCAAACGCCGCCTGGGCAGTACTAGCAACCGTATGCGGCCTAAACCCCGCCAGCGCATCCCCAATCAACACAACCCTCCCATCCAAAAACTCATTCCTCGGATTAATCACATCCGCCGCCTTCTGCACAAACGGTCTGTCTGCCTCGCAGACAATCTCCGCAAACTGCGTGTGGCAAGCTATCCCTCGCAATCTCCATCTGTCTCTCCCGCGCAACAGTGTCTGTCATGCCCGGCAGCGTAATCCGATGCCGTCGACCGTTGGAATCCGTCATCATCCCATCCAGCTCCGCCGAGCCCTCCGGGACGTTCCCCTGGTTTCACCGTCCCGTTCTTGCCGGGGATGAGATACGCCAATATTTGAATCCCATCCGCGCGGAAAAATGTTAACCTTTCTGCAAAGGTCGCCAGGGTCGAGGGTGTGACGTCTTGTTCGGGGACCCTGGCGCGGAGGGCGAGGAGATTCCATCGAAGTTGGCGCGCATGAGGAAGTAATTTAGGTCCCAGGAGCTCATGTCGTGGCTAGCCGTAACGGTGTGGATGATGTAGCCATCGCGGTCGAGGTATTGGCGGCAGGTGGAGATGTCTTTGCGTTGACAGCGGTGGTACCTGTTGAAAAACTCAAGGGCGTGACCGCCAGCAACGATGCCGGCTCTTTGGTCATGGAGGAGGGGAGTGGGGTGGTGTTCGAGGATTGTAGAGTTGTGGCCCAGGATCTTGAGAGCGATGCCTGTCGCCAGGCCGCCTAGAGATCCGCCAACCTGTTGCTGCGTTAGCAATGTGCCTCTGGTCAGGTGCTGAATGATGGGGCTTGAAGCCTTACGATGACGAAATGCAACCTGTCGGGTTTCTGTGCTCCTGTTATCGTGTCGGTTATCGTGGCCATTGCTTACTCTCCAAAACTGCACAAGTTATGCTTTCCTTTGTGAATGGTCAAATACAGGGAGCGTATGGAATGCCTATCCATGACAGCATCCACTGAGAGCCCCCCACTTATTCATCCTGCCCCAGACTTGTGCTACCTTACCTACCCTAATCTCAACTGCCGGCTTACGACCTTTGTACCGTGTTCGGATAAAAAGTGTTGCTCCGGCTTACTCAAACCATGATCATTGTTCTCTTCTCTGTATGACTTCAAGTCTTGACCTCCCTCGTCCCACAGTTTAACGTGGTGCCCCCTCAGCAGGCTGAGCATTGATGTTTTCGCCAAGTACCCTTGCCGTGATGGCATCGCCTGATCTCTACAGAGTGGCTGAATGCTAGACTGTCACGAATCAATAAAGGCTCTCGTTCCGCGGACAAAATGCCTTGGCCCTTCGTGTCGTTTGGGAAGCATCGAACCAGGCGGTGGTTGCAATGGCTTCAAAAACATCGTATTGCCTTGTCAAAGAAAGTGTGACGTTGGTTGGTCGGCGAATCTTTCGGCGGGATGCGTGTGACAGGCACCGAAGGCAGGTAGGGCTGAGGTTCAGCTCAGCTCACTCTTGGTGTCGACAGCTTATTTGGGCAAGCAGTGCTCACGGTTTGGCAATGCCACGCTGGTGTCTGCCGCGAATATTGCAGCGAACATGCAGTCGACAATTATGTGAATGCAAGCCCTCGCTTGTCAAGCAAGCCATTGACAGAGGTGTTCTGGTGGTAGAGCCTTGAAGAATTGAGATATAAGTAATGTAGAGATCCTCGCCATGAGTCTGAAACAGCTACCAATATTCTAACATCTCACAAGATTGCCAGTGCATGAGAATACTTTCAGTGGTGACCAGCATGGCAAACTTAAAGACAATTGTGGCTCTTGCCGTCGTGTCACTTGCTGGCATCAGCGCAGCTGCCGGATGTGCTGCTGACAAGTAAGTTCAAAGCATGACCCGCTTGGTAGCTACCCAGGCTGACACTGAAAACAGTTGCTACCGGGCTCTCTTTCCTTGCCCGTCTCCCTCGGCCTTGTCTGTCGCTTCCGCCTTCTGCGCAACCATCACAGCCTCGGGCACGACTGCCACCAACTATCCTACTCGGGCCACCAACGCCTGCGGGACGACGGCTGATCGGTACATCTCGGCCTGTCAGTGTGGCCCGACATGCTCCTACTCAACCCTTGCCACGGCGACTTCCTTATCGTCCACCACAAATGCCCCGGCCTGTGAGCCGCCTTCCACATCGACCACTTTCACGTCAACCACCTCCACAGCGCCACCTGCCTGCGAGTCAACCCCCGTCAACGGCAACCTCCTATACGGAGACTTTGAGTGCGATTTCACCCCCTGGAACCCCCTTGTATTCGCCCCCTTTGCCAGCGTCTATGGGTACTCAGTCACCACACCTGGCTTCACCAAAGTCAATTCATTCCAGACCGAATTCCTCGGCACTCCCAACTGTCCCACAACTTGTACATATTTGCGTCTCACATCCCCGGTCTTCCCAGTCACTCCGGGTGTCAAATACAAGTACACCTTTGCCACATGGTTCGATGGGATATCCAGAGGGTTTGTGGGCACAAAGATCAATGACCGCGCCGGTAGGACTGTCAGCGCTCTTGATTACCCAGTCACAAATTGGCGATTCCATCAGGTTCCTTTCCAAGCCAACGCAACAGAGAATGAAGCTTCTGTTTTCTTTGAGTGGCTCAATGTCGAGTCTAGACTTGACAGCGTCACCTTTGCCCCCCTGAGCGCTTACTGTGGGAACACATCCCCTGTCGGCTTGCTTCGGGATGGAGAGTTTGAGTGCGGGTTGGGCGCCTGGACGCAGCAGAAGCCTGACCCTCAAGCCACTGCTGGTGTGGTCAACTTGGGTTCTGACAGCTTATACACCAACAGCTTTCCCATGGGTGACTACGCTTGGAGAGTGGTGTCACCTGGTGTTCCCAATCCTGCCAACCAGGAGTTGCATGTCAGTGCGAGGATCATCAGCGGGAGCATGGCAGTGACACCGGGGAAGAAATACTTGGTTTATTTTACGTCTTTTTTCAGCAACCGGACTGTTGGGTCTGTTGGGGTTATGATCAACAACTCGCCGATTTATACGAGAAACCCCAATGATGCTGCGCAGGGAACTCCGGCGGTGTTTTCTCCGAATCATATCATTTGGACTAACATGGCTGGGCTGACAAGTGCGAATGTCAAGATTGAGGCGTTGGTGTTTGGGGCTGGGACGATTGCGATTGATAGTGTTATGTTTGTTGAGTTGAATGATGGTGTTGTGTAATTGGTGCCTAGGGGCAAATTCAGGATACTAGAGGGATGGGACATTGGGTAGGGCTACTTGTGATTGCATCAGCTCTTTCAGTAGTTTATGCTTGGGTATCTAGTCTATATCAATTACTCGTTCTACCATGAAGCGACTTATTGTCCCGCGGTTATCGATCCTACCCTGTGGCACCAGCTTCCTGACACAGAGGAGCACAACAGAGGCAGGTGCTAAGACCTCCCAATTCCAACGCTGTGGAGTCGACGTTGCCACCACAGGCAGCGGGCAACACAGTCTTCGAGCGGGTGGATCATGGACAGTCAACCGGTAAGTCTTGCTGGCACTTGCCATACGTCAAGCACGAAACAGATGTCTGTTTCGACAACACAGGAGCTTCCCGTCGCTCTGAGGAGTTTTAAGGACTCAACTTCGTCAACCCAAACTCTCCCCCAAACCTCAACTTTCGTCTCACCACCACGCCACTCATATCTCTACTCTTTCGCACCGTCGTCTATCAATTTCATAGCACTGTTACTGGCTCTCATTCTTTATTACTTTCGGTACCCCCGACGATACACTTATCCAATCCCACGATGCCTTCACAGACACTCGCTTTGCTGGCTGGTGCCATGACGCTGGCCACCGTCGGTGCTCAGCTTCCAACATCGCCCATCTTGCCCATTCCATTTCCCCAACCACCATATCACGACTACAGTCCCGCCACTGTTCCAACCGAATATGTCTGTGGAAACCAATTCATGACGAATATCGCAACCCCAACTCCACCGCCAAACCGACCGGAAGGGGAGCCAAAGAAGTCCAAGAAGCCCGAGACAGAGGAGGATGACAACTACGAACTCAAAGCTGTCAACACACACCGAACACGCCCCTTCGCCGCTCCCACGGGAAGGTTCAAGTCCCTACAGTACCCCTACACTTCAGTAGGGCGTCACATGCATGTTCTCGAACGAACGCACGCCGACTGCACATCCCAGACCTCTGAACTCACTGTTTTGGCTGCCCAACAGCCCATCTTCCCACCCGAGCTGCAAGATCTCGCCAAGAAGCACAAGGTTTGGTTCAGTGCCTGCGGTCCGACTTTTGAGAACGCTGTTGATTCATCGTTTGATCCCCAAGCTTTTACCCCTGCTTTCGAGGCCTGGTCGGATGCCCTCGCCACCAATCTGAGGAGATTGATGAACGCCTGCCACAGCTCACAAGAGACGGTTGACATCATCAATCGGGACCGGTGCCTTCGCGACCTGCTTGCTCAGCAGGCGCCCGTCATTCCCCTTGGCCCCATTGCGGAAGATCAGGCTACATTCACGACCATGTTCACCCTTGACATTCCTGTCCCAAGTTCTTGCCCGGATCCCGTCACGATCACCAAGATGTCGACGATGTCGGTCACGGCTACTGTCACTGTGGAGGAGAACAAGACCGTGGTGATAGATAAGACGGGCGAAGGTGTTCAGGGGGTTGCCGTGTCGCTGGGTGCATTGCTCACTGGCGTGTTGGCTGGGGCATTCATCTTTGCTCTCTGAGGTGGTGCTGGGGTGGTAGAGTCCGGCATCAACATTGCGCAAAATCACGAGATGAGGCAGGGAAATGGGAGAACATGAGGTGTGGTGGCTTTGTAATACCTGTATTGTGGCATTCCTAATGAACAGTAATTCGTTTCTCTCGCGATACGGTGTCATCCTCGTGGTCATGATCGAGGTGGGTGATATCTATTGTGCTTCCATGTCGATCCTGGTAGCCAATACCATGAGATGTTCGTTTTGTTCAGTTTGGTTTGTTGATCTCGACTTGGTGGAACCGGGGTGAGGTTTGACTTTGACTTTTGCAGGGAACGTGGTGAGGCATGGTGCGGGGCGGGGGGTTGCTGGAGGGACGCGATGGTGAAGAGGAGTTACGTGACTGGAAGTGGAATACTGGTGTGTTTAGCTGGGCGTGTTTTGAAGGGGAGGGGTGACGTCCGTGGGCGGGATGACGCTGGTTAATGGTCTTGAGCTGGTGCATGACAAACATGTGTGACGACGTACAACACGATGTTGGGGATAATTCCTTGTATTATGAATTCCCTGGTTGCTGTGTCTGTATGATGGATGTTGACATATCTGCTGACATACTGATGTTGTAACCGAAAGTTCACGGGCTCAGGGGGACCGGTCAACAGTGTCGTCGTGCCAAGTCCGCAATTGTGTCTTGGCCGCGGCCACCCCAGCGCTGAACTCAGCAATCGCCACAAACAAAGAAAGCAAGTCGGTGGTGTTCCGAGGTGGTACCTGTTGTAGATAAAGACCATCGTCGATCGAGACAGATGATAAGTGCTATCTTCGAAAGTGCAGCCATCCAAAAAATAGGATGCCAACCCCTCCAAGGTTGTATAGTGTAGCGGTTATCACTCCGGATTCTGATTCCGGCAACCCCGGTTCGAGTCCGGGTACGACCTCATTCTTTGAAGTCTTTTCACTCTTTTTTTTTCTTTTTTCCTGCACTGTCCCAAACTACTTTGGCGCCTGTTCTCAACCCATAACGTTGTTCTCCGATCCAATTAAACTCCTTGTTTCTGATCTATTTTGGGCCTGCTAGCTGCCAGCTGCCAGTTCCACATCCAGAAAAGTTGCACAAACGGGTATGATTCATTATGATTCATTATTTGAAAGGATAGTGGACCTTTGCTAGCAGCTACACAGCCTCATGCTCTTTCAGCCAGCAATCTCTCCACGACACTCATCCCCAGACTCTCAATCGACGGCGCCCCCATAATCTCCAGAACCGTCACCTCAGTTCCCAGCCGCTGCCGACACCAGTTGCGCAACTCGATAGCCATCAGAGAATCGATGCCCAACGATACCGGGCTTGCCGTGACATCCAGGCTCTCGACCGGCTTCATCATGAAGGTCAGAAGCGTTGTGCCAATGTGCCGCGAAATGATGGCGCTGGCAGACGGCTCAGCAAATATCTGAGCATTGTCGCTCGCAGCAGCAAATAATTCGTCGAGATCAGTGCAGCCATCCTGCTTCTCCAGCATTGCGCTTGGCATACTGCCCGCTGTGCCGGCCTTTTGCTTCTCATGGCTTCGCAACACACCGAATCTAGGGTCTCGACCCCACAGCGAGACGGCACGATTCTGGGCCGAAGCTCGCGACTCATCGACCCTCAGCCCAATAGCCAGCTGACTCTTGTTGACAAAGGATTCAGCGGTTGCGGACCTCTTCGGAGCAGGGGGGCCTGATGTCTTGATTGCAAGCTCTAGAGCATCAAGAACCTTTTGCTCGCCCAGGATATGCGCACCCTTGGACTGGAACAGCTCTTTGATGGCCTTGTTCTGGCTCACGTAGCCGACATCGCCCACAATGCCAACATCCATGACCGACGCGCAGAGACCGAGATGATGGCGATACTGAACAAACGAATCTAGGAACGTGTTGGCAGCAGCGTAGTTGGCCTGCCCCCGGTTGCCCCAGACACCAGAGGAAGACCCAAAGAGAACGAAAAAATCGAGGCTTTCGTCCGAAAAGGCCTTGTGCAGGTTCCATGTCCCTTCAACCTTGGGGCCCATGACTGCCTCCCAGTCGTTGTGTGTCATTTGGGGGAATGCGGCATCCCTCAGAACCATGGCCAGCTGAACCACACCAGCAACAGGGGGCCGTGCCTCGGATGCGACCCGGCGGACATCTTGCAAGCTTGTTACACTACCCTTGATGACCTTGACGGCGCAGCCCATGGCGGCAAGCTCCTTGGTAAGTTGGGAAGCTTCTGGAGCATCTTGGCCGCTTCGAGACAAGAAAACCAGATGCCTTGCGCCGCTCTCTGCCATCCAGATGGCTACCTGTCGACCCAGGCCACCCAGCCCACCGACAAGAAGATACGATGCATCTGCACGAAGGGAAAACCCGCTCCGGACAGTGGCTGTAGCCGGGAGAAGTAAAGGGTCCCCAGGCATACGCACCACCAGCTTGCCGGTATGCTGTCCTGTCTGCATGAACCGCAACCCGTCTTCCAGCTGGGACCAATCGTAGCAAGTCATCGGGAGGATAGGATGAATCTTTCCTGCTTTGTAAAACGCCATGGCCCGTTCCAGCAAACTGTGATGAATGTCAGCGGGCTTGCAATACGAGCTTCAAACCGGGAACGAGATGTATTGTACCTTTTGGCCATTTCTGGTCTCTTGACGTACATGGGCGCAAGGTCCACGCCGAAGAAGGAGCGGTTCTCCTGAAACATGTCCATGGCCAACTTACCGTGGCCGATGAAATCTCTCTTGCCAATCTCGACCATGCTGCCAAACTCGGCAACGCATTTCCACTGGTGCTTTGTTAGCCTTGGAGCCGGGTGTATGTGCACGGGTACTGACCGAAGCATGGAGGAGATCCCCCGACAGAGAGTTGAGAACAACATCAACGCCCTGCCCCTTTGTTTCACGATAGACGCCGGCCACAAAGCTAGAGTCTCGAGAGTGGAAAATGCGCTGTCTCGGGATGTCAAAGGTATCAACAAGGTACTGGACCTTTTCTTCGCTACCGACTGTTGCATAAATCTCCGCTCCTACCATGCGAGCAACATGGATCGCTGCGATACCAATCCCGCCACAGGCGGAGTGGATGAGAACGGACTGTTGAAGGACTTAGCACCTTTGAGCGATCAAACAGAGCTTGGACCGACTTACCTGACCGGCTTTCAGCCTTGCCAGATCCAACAAACCATGGATAACCGTGCAGTACACGCTCGGAATTGTCGCTGCTTCTTCGAATGACATCTCGTCTGGTATCTTGGCCACAATTCTTGCCTTTACCCTGGTGGCATAGCTGTTGAACGCGCCCACAGCCACTCTGTCTCCCACTTTGGGGCCATTGGAAGCAGCACCGGGTCCGACAGCGCTGACGACACCGGCGCACTCCAACCCCAGCCCTGTCCCCTCGACCTTTTGTCCGTCAATCACCCCCATAGCGGTAAGGATGTCCTTGAAGTTCATCCCTGCCGCTCTTGTGTCGACAATAACCTCATCACCAACCAGCGTGGATGCGCCGAACTCTGAGTTGGGGACATTTACCCATTCGAGGCCTTTCAGCGAGCCCCGTTTCGTTACTTTGAGCTTCTTAGCCACTCCGGCGGATGCCGAGTCAGCTTCGAGAGCCAAGCTGTCCTCCACAGAAAAGCGATGGAAACGAGGGACATAAACGGTGTTTCTGACCAGGGCATACTCGTAGTCGGGCCCGGAATCGTCGTCGCCTTGGTCTCCACCGGAGGCGATTTGCTGTTGAAACTGGCAGAGAACTTTGCAGATTGTATTCATCTGTTCGTCAGAAGCCAAAAAGTCCAGGTTTTCGAGCTCAAGGGTGGCAAAGTCGACGAGAAGCTCATTGCGAATAGTGCGAGCGAGACCAAGAATACGTGAGTACTGGGGCTCTGTGCAGTTGACTTGGGACGATTTAGTCAACCAGAGCATTCCAAAGCCGCTTGAGCTGCCGAGGTTCGTGGTAAATGCCTGGAGCTGGGAGAAGGCGGTTGGAGATAAACCATCGAGGAAGGGCTTGTTTGTTTCGAGATCGAGAATGGAGATTATGTCGCTCTTTGGAGTGTCATGGAGCCCAATGATTTCCACTTCAAAATTGCGGTTCTGGAGGGCCTTGACCACGGCGTTGGCAACGGGGCTTTCTGGCTGCGCTGACAGGACGGAGATGCCTCGGCGGTCCACGGGAGGAGGAGGAGCACCCGATGCGACCCAGGTAATGTTGAGCTCGTAGAACGCGTCCTCTTCATTGAGCATAACCGGGTGAGCATGCTCAAACCCAGCTTTGGACATTTCATCAATCCATCTTTGATAGCCAACGTATGGTTCGTCGGGACGACCATCTGCCTCTCCCAGCCACCAACCCGAAAGCGGGCCCATGGTGTAGTTGAACCACTTTGTCGTTGGGGAAAGCTCTTGCAAAAGCATCTGCCCATCAGGCTTCAGTAGCTTCCTCACGTTGACAAGCGTCTCGTGCAGGCTGGGCGTGGCGTGCAAGACGTTGGTGGCAATGACGAGATCATATGAGCCAAGTTTAAATCCCTGACTTGCTGGGTCAATACTGATATCAAGGGGCATAAACTCCATGGCTTTGACTTTGTCGAATCTTTCCTTGGCCGCAGGGAAAAAGCCAGCAGAGATGTCGGTGAAGGTGTAGGACGAGAAGGAATCCAGCGAACCCAAGACTACCTCGGTCGTTGCTCCAGTGCCGGCCCCGACTTCGAGAATCTTTAGGTTCGGCTTGCTGTGGCTCAGCAGTCTTAAGAATTGGCTGTAATTCTTGTTGTCAATGAAGTTGTACAAGTCGGTCAACACATCTCCCTCTCGAAGAACCTCGAGCGCTTCAATGTCGCCGCGGAAAATCTCCTCGATTGCATCAAAGATCCTGTGAACAGCCGTGCCAATGATGGATGCCTCTGTGTTCTGAATCTCCCTGGCTGTTTGGGAAATAAGAGTCACTCGCTCCGTCGAGGATAGCTGGAGGAGTTCGTCAACATTATCGACGAGGGCATATCCCCGAGTCTTGGCCTGTTCCACTTGGGCGTGCAACCAAGCATGAAATTTCCTGAGGTGCTCATGGGTGACTGTATGGATGACGCCCTCCAGGCGCTTACAAGCCTCGATGGAGCAGCATAGCGTCAACTTTTGCAACAAGGGAAATGTTTCTCGCTCCACCAGGGTCCGGACGTCGACCAAGTCTCTCAGGTCTTGAAAGGCCACATGGGGCTTCCATACGAGGTGCGCGCCAGCATGAGGATCAACTTCAGAAGCAGGCTCTTCTTCCCCCACAGGGGACAGTTTGATGTCTCTGATGACCAGCACAATATCCTCATTGTTTCGACCAACGCCCATGCATGTGCCATCGACGCCTCCTCTGACTGTGTAGTCAGCCCCAGCCTCCACAGTCATCTCATTATTGGCACCCAAAGTCCCGATGTAGACATCACCAAGGAACGTGGGGACGATCGACCGCTTGTGCATGGCTCGTGTCTGTCCACGGCAAGCCGCTGCCATGAACAACTGGAGACAGCAGTCAATGGTCGTCGGGTGAAGCTGATAGACAGAGTCGTTCTCATCGATTCGGTTGACGATGTGAGCCACAGCCTTGTTCTTGGCAGGATGAGCAGAAAGCCTCTCGATGCCCTGAAACCGAGGACCGTAGTTGAGCCCGACATTGCGCCACGTCTGGTACCACGGTCCTGCCGCAATCTTTCTCGGCAGGTCGCTGGTTGCGGGCACCTCGACGCCGTCAAGGTGTCGTCCACCTCTGACCTGACCAGAGCAGTGCTTGGTCCACGCCCCTCCGTTGCACGACGAGATTGTAAACTCGTACCACGCCGAGTTCAGGCTCGTTGTCAGACGGTGGGGACGCAGCGTTAAAACGGTCTCGTTGTGCCCCGAGTCTCGGCATATCATGGCGTGGCCGATGGATAACTCTCGGAGAGTGTAATCAGTGCAGCCCGTGACCTGTCGAACGGCTTCACCTGCCATGGCAATGTAGCCTGCCGCAGGAAAAACGATATCGGGCCCGACCATGTGATCTCTGATCCAGGGGACATCGGCGAGGCGCAAAATGTTTCGCCATGCAGGCTCAGCATCACCACACTCGGCAATATGAGACCCCAAGAGGTCGTGACGGGGAAACTTGGGAAATCTCCTCATGTGGGACAGGCGGCTTTCGTACCAGTAGTGACCCTCATAATGCCAGGGATGGTTGGGGAGGTTGGTCAAGACTTTGCCACGGGGGTTGATGTCTTGAAATGCAAGCTTGAAGCCTCTTGTGAATAGCTCGCCGGCAAACGTGAGCATGTTGATAGTCCCATCTTGGCCTCTGACCAAAGTAGGGAGGTATTCGACCTTGTTTGGCTGAAAGGTCTGCATGATCTGTCTGAGAGGACCAGCAAGCGCCGAATGAGGTCCAATTTCGGCAATAATGCTCTCGGGAAAACGAGCAAGGACAGTTTGAACAGCCGTGTTGAAGAGCACTGGTGATTCCAGATTGCTTCTCCAGTACGAAGCATCCAGAGATCCTCCCTGGTCAAGGATTTTGTTGGTGACGGTTGAGAAGAACGGCACCGAGGGCGACTTGCTTGAAACAAAAGGACGAAGCATTGTTTCGTATATCTCGCCAACGCTCTTCATGTGATCTAGAGTTCTGTCAGCTTATTTTCTTTGATGGAATCACATGGACAAGCTTACGGGAGTGGTACGCCATCTCCACCACCAGCTTTCTTACAAACACATCAGGGGCTTCCTCTTTGATCTCGGCAATGACTTGGTCGATCTTGTCCGCGTCGCCGGACAATGTCACGCTGGTTGGACTATTTTCGCAGGCAACCACCACGCCAGGGACGAGAAACAGGTCCACCCCGTCTTTGCCCAATCCAACAGCGGCCATGGCTCCTTTCTGGCCGGTCTGCTGTCCCATGACAAAACCTCGCAGATACGCAGCAACGATGGCCTCTTGCATGTCTAAGGCGGAGGCAGCATATGCCGCAGCAATCTCTCCGCTCGAATGACCGACGACACCTGCCGGGACGACTCCAAACTTTCTCAGCAGGTTGACAATGATGATCTGAACGGCTGTGCAGAGAGGCTGCGAGAACTCTGCCTTGTTGACATTGCTTGTCTCTTTGGGGCGTAAAATTTCGTCTCTCAGAGTCCATGCCGGCGGACATGGCAAGCCTGACAACACCTTGTCCATGATATCGAGGTCGTCCGAGGCAGAGGGAAAACTGGAAATCAATGTTGATCCCATACTGGCCCACTGGCTGCCTTGGCCATTGAATGCGAAAACGACACCCGAAGGGGTACTGGCCGCCTTTTGGGGCGCGGCAAACACAGTGGGTGCGCTTTCAACTGCCACCGCGTATGAACGGAAATCGAGATGTTCCCGCCGCTCTCCAAGGGTATAAGCCAAGTCTCCCACAGAGTCAGCATGTTTGTCAATATAGTCGACAATGTCTCGGGCTCCCTTGAGGACGGAGTCAGGAAGGCTACCCGTGACAACCAGGAGTCTGGGCGCCGACTTGGGACTGGTCAAAACCATGGGAACCGAAAAGGAGTCTGCCGAGTCCAGGATGACATCTTGCGGATAAAGTTAGCTGTCTGTCGCGGCCACCAAATGAGCACACACTTACGGGCATTAGCGCCGCCTATTCCAAAGCTGCTGACGCTGATACGCTCGTGGCGGTCTCGGGGCCAAGGGGTCGGTTCCACCGGCACTCGGAGGCCCTTTTGGAACGGAACTGCAACAATTCCGGTTAGATAAATGTCGGAAAACTGCATGGCATAGATCTTACTCTTTGGGTTCGGCTTGTCAAACTTGATATTGGGAGGAATGACTTTGTGCTCAAGCGCCAGAACACTCTTGATGACGCCAGTTAGGCCAGAAGCACCCTCGGCGTGGCCCAGGTTCGGCTTGACAGAGCCGATGTATACACCCTTTTCGTAAAAGACGTTGGCAATGGCGGTTGTCTCGATGGGGTCTCCAGTCTTTGTGCCTGTGCCATGTGCCTCAACCATGGCCGTCCGGGTGAAGTCGCTGATACCCGCTTTGTTGTAACAGTCTCGTATCAATGCCTCGTGGCTTTTGGAACTGGGCTGCGCAATGCCTTGCGTCTTGCCGTCGAAGTTGGTTGCTGTTCCCTTGATGATGGCACGGATGGGGTTGCCATCCCTGATGGCCTCGTCGAGGCGCTTGAGGTAGATCATGTTGACAGCCTCGCCTCGGGCATAGCCGTCAGCGTCAGCGTCAAAGGTCCGACATGAGCCATTTGGGCTGAGAACTCCCTGTTCAGCAAGAGCATGAGTCACTATGAACTGTTAGCTTCTGTTCTTCTTGGGTAGGTGTTGAGGAACTTACTGTTCATGTTCATGATCAAGTTGGAACCTCCGACAATGGCACTGGAGATGTCCTCGTTCTGTATTGCCTTGGTGGCCAGATCAAGGCAAATCAGCGAGCTTGAGCAAGCAGTCTTGACGATGAAGCTTGGCCCCTTGAAGTCGTACTCATACGAGATTCTGTTGGCCAACAAGAAGTCTTCTGTTCCAGTGATCCGGTAGGGTCCGGCCTCCTGGGTATCTCTGGATTGCATCTCAAACCAATCTTGTCCAAAGGTTCCCACATAGCAACCAATCCGTTTGCCTCTCCAGTCCGCTTCGCCTGCATTCTCAAGGCATTCCCTGGTGATTTCCAGGAGCAACAGCTGTTGAGGATCCAGCTTTTCGACTTCGTTCCTCGTCATGGACAACAACGAAGCGTCAAACTGGGTAAGGTCGCGGTCCAGAAAGTAACCATGAGTTGTGTTGACCGTTCCACTCTTGCCGGTGGAAGAGAGGAAACTATCCACATCGTAGCGTGAGGTTGGAATGCGACTACGAGCGTCACGCTTGTTAACCAGCAGATCCCAGAACTGCTCGGAGGATGTGATACCTCCAGGCAGGCGCATAGCCATGCCGCAGATTGCCACTGGAACTGAGGGATTGTTGCTTGCACGCTTGGAGTCTGATATGGCAGCAGCAAGAGCATCCGCCGTCATGATTGAAGTAGGGATATCATCATAGGCTGTTGTGACCGAGCCTGCATCCGAGCCGGAGCCGGGTGTCTTGCTGATGATCTCCTTGACGCCAATCTCAGCGGAGAGAAGATACTTGGGGCCGGTCAGAGCCGGAGGTGCTTGGTTGAGATGCATGATGGCGTTGAGATAGGAGAGAGGCACGATGACTACCTAGGCAGACCTAGGGCTTTGAGTCTACGACGAAGCTAGAGCGGTCTCTATATAGTGGTGCGAAGACATTTCCTCACATCCTGTGCCTGAAAATGAGATACTTCGACCCTACAAGCCTCTTTGAAGCCGGTGTGTAAGGTACCTAGTTCGGGCACCTGCCCTGGAGAACGAGCAACAATCTGTGAGCCTGTAGGAACCGGACTTGCAGCCCAAAACAGGCAGCTCCTCCGCATACCGAGCTGTCTCGACTGCCGGAAGGTGAGGAGGAGCCGTGATCCACCGCCAGGTTCCTATTCCCACTCGCACTCGGGAAGGAACAGGCGCAGCAAAGCGAGCCATTCCGGAAATGTGTCAACCTTGCCGTAGGATAACGGCGGGTACACTTCCTAGATACTACCCGAACTGCCAGTCCACGAACAGTGATTCCATGATACTATCAACTTGAATGGACACTAGGAAAGTCTTGGTAGGGCTCAGCAATCGTCGGGTAGAGAAGGCTGATATCTACGCCTCTCTTCACACGACTGATGCATCCGGTGGTGCGTGAAGGGCGGGTCGTTGGCCTCTCGATATTGATTTTGCCACGGTTCTGCTTCTACCGGAATTAATAACCCATTGCTTTGGTAATCGGGGCGCGTAGGGCTGGTAACCAATCATGATAGTCATCACCAAATGAAGGGACCTCGATATCAGGTTTACTTGGCGGACCGAGTCACCGAAACTATTTGACAGTCGGATGAAGAATCCTCCCGCCCTGTGGCACAGCAGGGATACTCGCGAAATGTGCCACCATGCACTCCCGGCCGGTATGCTGGCCAGTGGCCTAGTCAGTCAAGATGGCTACGCTTGATTGGCAAACGGAGTTCGAATGGTTGGCAAATTTGATGTTCTATTCGACATGCTGACAGCCTAGGCGCTCACATCCCCCTTTGGGGAATGCCTGCCCTGCAGTTTATGTTCGGAATCCAACTTCCTATCTAGGGTGTGGTGTTTCATGAAGAAGCTTGCCAATAAGCACGACGCTGAGAGACCCACCAACAGGCTGAATACTCCATGAAACCCTTTCACATAAGACTCTAGTATCGCATCCTTTGTGGGGCCGCTTTGCATGGCGTGGAGTCTCGCCACAAATGACTCTGCATCAACTGCAATGACGAGAGCATCAGCGACTTTCCTTTCTTCAAGTGCTCTCAGCAGCACATTTTGGAATGTTGTGCCGCCCAAGGCAACTCCCAAACACATGCCGAGTGTCCGCATAAACATGAACATGGTGACTGCATACGCGACATCAACTGTCTTGGCCATGGTCTGCGTAGCCACGTTGAGCGCGCTGAGCAAAAGTCCCTGGCCGATGCTGGAAACAAGCAAGATGAAGACAGTTGCTGCCACTGAACGGTCTCGGTCCAAGAGGAATAACAGACCATTCCCCAATGTTGTCACTGCCAGCCCACCCCAAACAGCCCATAAAAATGACCCGAACCGTGTAATCATCAGGCCTGTGACGATGCTGGCGGGGAAAAGAACCAGGTTTACCGCCACCATGATGACAGCCACTATTGTCGGGTTTATGGCCTTGATGGACTGGTAATAGAACATGATGTAAAACAGGTGCGAGAAGAGCTTTGACGTTATTAGTGTGGGGCCCTCAAATAGGGGTTCAGGGGTGGGTGACGCACCAGAAATCCATGAACTGTGGTGCAGATGTAAACAAGCACCGCAGACAGGCTGTTAAAGACTGAGACCCTCAAAAATGGGAAAGCAGGGACGCGTTTCTCATAAACCACCGTTAGCAACAGGCCAACCGCACCCACGATGATTGGCACAAGTGTTTGATAAGAGTTCCACGGAAATTGGATTCCTGCCCAAGTGAGCCCGACCAAGAAGCTTGAGATGCTGGCGATGAATAAAACACCACCAGCCCAGTCAACAGCGGCAAGGTTCTCCGCAAAAGTTCTCTTCTTCTCTGGCCTGAGATTGACTGTGAGAGGAACAATCAAGAGCCCAAGACAGCAGATGGGAAAGTTGATGTAAAAGAGCCACTGGTTTTGTTGTCAGCATTGCTGCCTCGTGAAAATGATCGATTAAAACATACCCTCCATGTTGTGTGCTCAGTAATCACACCGCCAAGGACGGGACCACAGATGGCGCCTAAGCCCCAGGCCAACAAGGTGAAGTTGCCGTATTTTGGTCTCTGCCTGAGAGGCACAATATCCGACACGATGATGTAGGACATTGTCTGGATGCCCCCGGCCCCAACACCTTGCAAGGTTCGGCCGGCCAGCAGCTGGGTCATGGTGTGGGATGTGCAACATACTACTGTCCCCACGGTAAAGAAAAGAAGCGACACCATGAGCAGCTCACGGCGACCAAAGATGTCAGACACGGCGCCAATGCAGGGAACAAGTGCTGCGTTGGCCAGCAGAAAAGATGTGCCTGTCCAAAAGGTTGCTGCAGACGTTCCGCCGAGTTCATGGGCGAGTGTCTGGCCTGCCGTGTCAGTGCCACTGCCATTTTTGGTCAGGAGAGAGGACAAACAGGCAGTGCTGGAATCAGAATCATCACATCAACCTGACGGACAGTCAGCAAATACGCAGGGAGATGGCTGCTATGTGCTCACAGCAATGATGAAAGAGATAATGGACAGTGTCAACAGAATCATCCACTCCTGTCTCCCGGCCTTCCATGCGTTTAACTCTCCCCCCGCCTGTTCGCTGCGTTCGACGCTAATCTGTTGGTCCGTTACGAGATGAGCTGGAGGTTGGCTGGCATCGTGGGGTGATTGCTGTGCCATTTTCGTTGCGATCGCTTAGAAACAAAAATCAGTATCGAATCAGACAAGAGGCAGAAGGACACCCACCATCACCAGCAAAAGGGTGGTTGTCCTTGGCCTTGAAGTTATGTAGGACTGGGGCTGCTTTCTTGCTCGAAGATGCCTCGGCTTGGGTGAAGCTGCCATGATGACCAACAGTTTACAGTTTACAGCATCTGCCAGATAAGGAAGGTTAACTCGGCAAAATAAATGAAAACACGGCGCAAGATACCTGTTGGCGAGTTTTGCCCCATCAGAGCATGCGTGGAACTCCCTACCTCCATTCGGTGTCTCTGGAACACACGCGCGTGCAATGCAACTCGTGTGTGACTGTCCCGGAGAAGGCGCAAGGCGGTGGCTAGGAACCCATTGTGTTCGTTATCGGCCTGCGAAAGAGGTGATGTGGTGTGCCTGCTCGAGTGTGGGTGGGCAAATAATCTATTACGCCACGCTAAGCCGTGCTTGCTAATGGACCATGAGACACTGGGATGCGGCACAGAATACCTGACACAGTGCCGCATTTACTGTACTGAATGTCTCTCCCGCCGTGTCCTCGCCCGCCCGGGTTGCCAAGCAACCCCTCAGCCGACCCGACGAGAACCACGGCTGGAGTTGAAGAGATTGGAACACCGGACATATTAGCCCAGAGGCAAACCAGTACAGACGCTAGATCGCTCGACAAGCTGCTTTTATCTTGAGCGCTCAATAGTCAACCCTTTGGCGACGAGACATCGACATGGCCACGCACAATGTTGCTGTCGCCCTTGACAAACGGGAGTCTATCCCTGGTCCGTCACCGCTCCCACTGTTGGGGAATATTCGAGACATCGATGTCAAAAACACTGTTAGAAGTCTTAATGAGCTCGCTGACTCTTATGGTACGCCGAACTGCTTTTACAATAATGTTTCCCACTGTAGCTGAACCAAACACAGGACCAATCTACCGCTTGAAACTCGGGGTCGCCAATGTCATAATCATTTCCAGCTATGGACTGATCAATGAAGTCTTGTCCCGGAAGGAGTTCATCAAGTATCCCGTTGGGACCGTGATGCGCATGAGAGACGTTATTCATGACAGCCTCATCACTGCCTTCCACCATGAGGAAAACTGGGCGATTGCACATCGCACCTTGGTTCCTGCTTTTGGACCCTTGGCCATCAAACAAATGTTTGGCGGTAAGTTCGGCCGCTGGTTCTCCAGACTCTGCGTGCCATGACTAAAACAATTGTGACAGAGATGCATGATATTGGCTCTCAGCTCGTGCAGAAGTGGATTCATTCGGGGCCCACCACTGCTATCGACGTCGCGGCAGATTTGCAAAGTCTTGCGTTGGACACACTTGCGCTGTAGGTCTCTTCTCAGGTCTATTACCCAGGGCTGTTTGCGTGCTAAAAAACTGGGTCGAGATGTGCGATGGACACACGATTCAACTCTTTGTCTCGAGATGCGGATGAGCCGCACAAGCTCGTCAATGCCTTGAACGGCATATTTTCCGAAGTCACAGTGCGGGCTGCCAGACCAGCGTGGTTTACCAAGCTGCAGTGGTCTGCAAATCGCAAGTTCGACGAGAATAACGCTTTTCTCCGCAAACTCGCCCACGAGGTGATCAGTCACCGCAGAGCAAACCCATCCCAGAAGAAGGATTTGTTGAATGCCCTGGTGAACGGCAAAGACCCGGCCACAGGTAATTCCTTGACAGATGATTGCATCATAAACAACATGATGGCGTTTCTGATTGCTGGTATGTTTTGTTCCCGTCACTTATGTGTTTTCAGCTTTTATTGATGCTGTCGTGTTGTAGGATCAGAGACAACTGGCAATTTGCTTGCGTTTCTGCTTTACTACCTCCTGGCAAACCCAAGGGCATACGCAACGCTACGAGAGGAGATCGATAGGGTGGTGGGGAGTGACCCTTTGGCCCCCGAGCATCTGAACAAGTTGCCGTACACCAAGGCTTGCCTGAGAGAAGCACTTCGGCTGCAACCTACGGTTCCCGTTCTAGCTGTCAAGCCAGTGGATGTAGATGGCCCGATCGTACTGGGACACAAGTGGGAGCTCGACGGACCGCAGACCATTCTTATTTTGCTTCACCATCTTCATCGAGATGCTTCTGTTTGGGGTGAGAATGCCAAAGACTTTAACCCTCAAAGAATGTTGGACAAGAACTTTGCGAAATTACCGCCCAACGCATGGAAGGTTTGTCTACCCCTGACGCTCTTGCTCTTCAGTATTATCTAACATCGCCGATTTGCTTAGCCATTCGGAAATGGGCAACGATCCTGTATTGGGAATGAATTCGCCTTCCAAGAAGCCACCATTGCCGTTGCACTTCTCTTTCAGAAATTCGACTTCTCATTCGCGGACCCGGATTACAAACTCACCATCAAACAAGCGGCAAGTATCAAGCCAGCAAACCTCTTTGTACACGCCAAACCAAGACCTGGAGTCGATGCTTTGTCGACTAACCAGGGCGTTGTGCACGAGGACACCATCGGGAAACCCGCTCCAGCCACAGAGAACGTATTTTCAGGCGTCAATGACCTAAAACCGATTATTGTCTACTACGGCTCCAACATGGGAACATCAATGGAGCTTGCCAATAACCTGGCAAAGTCAGCTATTCAGCGAGGTTTCCAGTGCACAGCAGCGGCTCTTGATGAAGCCACCGGGAGTCTCAGGCCGGGAGTTTTGTCTGTATTCATCAGCTCGTCTTATGACGGACAGCCCACAAACAACGGGGCCAAGTTCATTGACTGGATCTCAGCATTGAGTCCAAACTCCTTGACGGGGGTTGAATTCGTGGTTTTTGGGTGTGGCAACCGTACGTTTTTCGTTTTACTGTTTTCCATCATACGGGCTAACCTAGAGGGAACAGGGGAATGGAGGGACACCTTTCAGCGTATCCCAAATCTTATCTTTGATCTCTTGGAGAAACACGGTGCGATATCCATCGCGGCAAAGGGAAGTGCAGATGCTGCCGAGGGCGATGTGCTCGCCCAGTTTGTGACGTGGCAGGCCAGTGACTTTTGGCCGTGTGTTGCGAACCTCCACGGCGTCGCTCCTGGAACCACAGATGAAGCATTGCGTGTTGCGGTTGTGCATCACAAACCTACTTTTCAGCCTATTCAGACGGGTGTTAGCGCCATTGTGAAGAAGGTCTATCGGCTTACTGATGATCGAGTTCGACCGAAATACCATCTTGAACTTGAGCTTCCGGAGGGGCACAACTACGAGGTCGGCGGCTATCTCGAGATACTGCCGCGCAACCCCCTGGAGCTTGTCAAACGAGCGCTCAGAGCCTTGGGGCTCAAAGAGGACGATGTACTTGAACTACACAGCTCGGCTTCAACCCCGCTACCTACTGGTGTGCCACTCCTGGCAAAAGACCTCCTTTCTCACCATTTGGATCTGAACCAGCCAGCCACTGTCAAGGTATGTTTTTGTTCATGACATCGGCAGCTTGTTTGCTAACGAAAATAGCAACTGGAGCTTCTCAGGGATCACTGCGAAGTGGCAGAGGACAAGCAGGCCCTGGACTCGATCCTCGAAGAAGGCAACAGAACCACTGTCTTGACTCGTCGTCCGTCTGTCCTTCAGATTCTAGAGGCTGTCAAGATTGGCAACCTTCCCATGTCCGCCCTAATAGGCCTCCTCCCACCACTCAAACCCAGACCTTACTCTATTTCATCCTCGCCATTATCATCGCCGTCAAGATGTACTTTGACTTGGTCCGTCTTGCAACACCCAGGTCTATCCCATCCTCGGTTTAGCCAAATCACCACTTACGGCCTCGCTTCCAACTTCCTGTCTGCGCTCAAAGACGGGGATACGTTGTCCGTTACAGTGAAACCCAGTCATGCCGCATTTCGGCCCGTTTTTTATGGACCTGGAGCGACACCCGTGATCATGGTTTGTGCTGGTGCGGGCCTTGCTCCTTTCAGGGGATTCTTGCAACACAGATTTGAGCTGTTAAGGCAGGGTTCAGTGCTTGAGACCAAAATGCCACCTGCCATGCTCTTTGTTGGCTGTCGGTCCCCTGCTGACAAAATCTACGCGGATACCTTGAGAGAGTGGGCTTTGGCTGCGAGAGTCGACATTTTCTACGCTTTCTCCCAAAACACGGAGAATACAGAGAGTGCAGGGTGCAAGTATGCTCAGGATAGACTTTGGCTGGAGCGAGTTCGGGTGATGGACCTGTGGGAACAGGGAGCAAGAATGTATGTTTGTGGCAGCAGGCTTGTGAACGAGGGTGTGAAGGACGTACTCAAGAGGATGTATGTTGAGGGTGTGCAGAAGCAGAACGGCCAAGATCTTACGGAGGCGCAGGTTGAAGAGTGGTGGGCGAGTACAAGAAGGGACAGGTATGCGGTTGATGTATTCTAGGCTGGGTGTGAACATAGAATCTTTGTGCTTATATTCACCCAAGTAAGCAGAGTAGGCACGCGTCAAGCGAGATTCGCCAGGTAGAGTTACACAATATTGCTTAATAGGTAACGTTAGGTATCATTTAGTGCTCTTTGGGGAGACTTTTGCCATGGCTTTCAGTCACTTCCAACTGGATATCCTCCGCTGTCATACCTTGTGTACTTGCGTTGATAGCCCAAGCCTGTCCCGGACAACATCAAAGGACAATAGAAGTTTGAGCTGGGTCAAAGTCCTGGAGTCCACAAGTCAGCTGAGACTGTCATATTCTCCTTGAATCATGTTACCATGGAGTTTCATCAATCGATACCTAGGTAGTTCAGTTTTGCCCCTTTGAGCCGCTCTTAGATCACGAATCAATTCAAGGTGCCTCACACAGTGCGCCTGTTCCGCTCAATTTGGTGTGGGTTGTAATGGCGTCTGATAAGTGCCTAGGTTGGGTGCCACGGAATAATCACCCACAAGCAACGCACAAGGTAGATCGTACCACGCGTTCCGCCTATAAAGATGCCAAGGGGGGCAGAGAACAGATTCCGTGGTTGTAGGCCCCAATTACCTAGCCCTGTGTGCCCTCTTGGCGCACGGATCACGTCGGTTCGCGAATCATAGACATTTGTGATATTACCTGGAACCAACGCTGTTCGCATTCAATAAATTTATGCTGTGCCACAGTGCGACCCGAGAAGGATTCTCAGAGTACGGCACCAGCAAGTCCTGCTCAGGTTGGGCCATGTTACGGGATTGGTCGGGCATGTAGTCGTCATCAGTTTTCCGAAAACATTCTTCTCGTTCATGTTGTGACAACCTCAACTGCAACGAACTTCTGTTGTTTTAACCGCCCCCTGTGCCGCAAAATGCCGCCATCAATGCAACAGTAAATGGGGCCCGTCGAAGGACCCTCCTTGTGCCGCTGGAAGCTGGATTAGAGGGACGTGGCAGTGTGTTTTTTTACGCTTCGAGAAGGCACAGCTGGATTTTCTTGTACATTTGCGGCATCGAAGAAGGAGCAAAGACTTGGCAGGAGCAGAGTGCAGACAGACTTGAGAGTGTGTCTCTTGCCGGCTTTCTTACATATGGAAGGTAAAGAAACGGTTGATATCAGGAGTGCGTGAGGCCCAGGTTGGGATTACTCTTCTGCCCACTTTGAAGCAGTCACCAGCAATCGTGATGGAATCTCCGAACGGAGAGCAATCCCCTTTGGCAGCGGCTATTGCTGCTCTGCCATCTTGTGCTGTAGGCAGAGGCCCTTCCCTTCTTCCTTTGAGCCAATCGTCAAGACACTGACTTGCAGCTAGTTGGCCTGCATCCAAGCAGCCATGGCGAACTCGACATGTTCACCGCTCGATAATGCCTGCCGGTGTACCAATGCAGCTTACAACGCTCAAGTTAGCCAATGTGTGCTTGGAAGCTGCACAATCAGGGAAGGGCTCAGTGAGACTTTTGTGCGCACAGTTTGTCATGACATGAGATTCTGACAATAGAACAGCAACCCGAAATATTACGGCCGGTATCTGCGGCGTTGAGCCCTATGTCGACCATTCCGCCAAAGGAATCTTCATCGCCTTCACTGCCTTGACCACAATCTTTGTCGGCCTTCGGTTTCTTGCGAGACAGGCGAGAAATGTTCATGTCTGGTGGGATGACGTTATGAGCTTCGTGGGAGTCGTAAGTGTTGGGTTAATAATGTGCGGAAGTATGCGCTGACATGTAGCAAACAGGCTTCCGTGATTGCTCTTCTCGGAATCATGATGAACTGTGAGTCTGGATTTCTCACCTCACTTCATTGTATTTTACTGACTCTTTCTCACGAAAAGTATATGAAATCGGCATGGGGTCCGATATGTGGTCCATTAAACATGAAAACATCACACGAATCTTCTTGTTGATGTGGGTGGCCATGTTTCTCTATGGTGTGGCCAGGACAGTTTCCAGAGTGTCCATTATGCTGTTTTATTTTCGCATCTTTGAGAACACCCCTGGCCGCCGTCTCAGGATTGCAGTTCTGGTTCTGGATGTTCTCAGCTGCTCTGCTCTGATCCTGCTGGTCCTCTTTCCGTGCCGCCCCATCAGTCACTTTTGGGACCGCTGGGATGGCGAGCACGAAGGGACCTGTCTTGACTTTTACGGCGAGGCAGTTGGCATCGGTATTAAGGACATCATAGTCGATGTCATCATCATTACACTTCCTCTGCCTTGGATTTCCAAGTTGAACTTGAATCGCAAGAAGAAGATCATGAGTTGCATCTTGTTTTCTGTAGGACTTTGGTAAGCCAGCTTATGTCAAGTCTTGTACGAGTCTATGCTAATTATTCCCAGCGTTATTATTGTCAGTGCCGGCCGAATTGCTGTCGTGGACAAATTTGTTCACTCAACGAATCCCACTGGTAAGTCGCTGCATGATGACCCCTGAAATTGTTTGCAATCTAACATGTCATTCCAAAGTTGATATGATGGATCTTGCAATCCTCTCTGTCGTTGAACTCTCACTCGGTATCATCTGTGCTTGTCTCCCGAGTGTAAAGCCACTGCTCAACTCTCAATACGTTCCGTTCCTAAAGTCCACCAGGGCTACCAAGGACTCCGCAACGCCAAAATACTACCCGGAGTTCAGGAGTGGAAATTCAGGGCAATCTGGTGGCACTAGCCAAAAGAAGATACGCGTCACGTACTCAACGGCTGCGACTGATAGCAACAACGCAGATAGAGACGAGAGTCCCTTGGTGATGCATCCGCATGGTCCGTATGTCCAACTTGAGAATATGGAATCCAGAGTGGGAACACCAAGGACAATGAATGATGGGAGACACCATCAAGACCTGGGCGTGATGCCGCCGAGGGGAGCTTATATGGCGTGATCGGTGTGAGGGTTAAGGCTGTACTACTAGCTTCTTTTTGTATTACAGAGCTATCGTGAAATTGTGAAAATGGTCATTTTGTCTCTTGTATGTCTGACCATCACATGGACTGAGTACCTACCTTACTCTTCAGGACCGTGTTCGAATGCAAGAATGCCACATGTCTGTTGTCAGATAAGTACGAAACCTTGGGCACTCTCACCCGGTGCCAGCTCGGTACGCAATTCAGCGCTGCGCAGCTGCTGCGCCGCTTCTGAGTGTATAAGAGAGCCCGTTCCCAGCTCCTAAATATCTGCAACCCTCAACCCCCTTGCTCCTCACTCCATATCATGTTGTCGCAACCAAACCCCAAGGTGTTCAAGATCCTTTGTCTTCATGGCATTGGAACTAACTGTGAGGTATGCTTTTTATATCGTCATTGTGTTGTTGATGCCATGTCGCCCCAAGACTAACAACCTGGAATCATTCAGATATTGAAGCTCCAGACAGGTAATTGAGGCCCCATGTTTCTGCAACACCCGCGCTGACTGATTCATGGCATAGCTTCCCTCCGCCAACATTTACCGTCAGGATGCACATATGACTGGTATCCAGGACTCCATCCTAGCCCGCCTGCGCCTGGTATCAGAGAGGCGTTCGGAACCAGTCATCAGTGTTTCTCCTACTTTGATGGCTCAGCAAAAGGGGGTATGGAGGCAGTGGATAAACTGGCTGATCATCTCCTCACCCATGGCCCCTATGATGCCATTCTTGCTTTCTCGATGGGTGGCGCGTTGGCCGCAACCCTCTTGCTCCGACCAGACCAGCAAGACCCTCAAGTCCGAGAAGCTAAGAGCAAGATTAAGAGTGTCGTTTTTCTTTCCAGTATCATGCCATCGGGCTGGGATGAATTGGAAAGCGGGAGAGTTACCTTTTTGAAGGCGAACAGGGTATCCGAGGAAAACAAGATTGCAATCCCTACTGTCCACGCTTGGAGCAACAAGGACGTGCATTACCCTGGGATGGCGAAGCAGGTTATGAATATGTGTAAACAGGAGACCAGGGTGGAGGTGAAACATGGTGCTGGTCACGGAATTCCCAGTGTCCAGGGGGAAGCGTCCGAGCTAGCAATGGTCATAACGCACATGCTAGAGAGACTTTGAGAGGGTGTAGAAACAATTACTGGGAACAGCATAGCATACCAATATGAAGCCGTGGGGCTGAGGTTGAGAGACGTTGTGGATCATCAAACATCGAGTTCACAAGTTGCCAAGAAGACTACGCGAAACTAAGTACAGGAAAGGCGAAAGGAGAGTGCGGGTGAGCATAAGCTCCTGTATATACAATGAGCCGGAATCAAAGGTTGGCGAGCATGGGCCCAAACGCTCTGCCAACACACTTAGGTAGCTGGCATGTGACTCAGGGGTTCAGTGGCTTCGAGATGTCGCGGCGATGAGCCTTTTGTGTCTTAATTATGATGTTTAGCTACCGGCTTCCTATTATTTTTCCTGTTATATCCGTGTTATTTCATCGAACTATCTTTTTATCTTTTACCCCTCACGAGAGACCGCCTTATACGGTGCCAGTGCCACTATTGCATGCAAGCTTCAACCAATGAGCGGGCAAGCAGTCTGTGATGCCTGTGCGCTTGGTCTGTTGGGTCGCAACATGGTCGGCCTCCAGCTTTGGCTTTATACAAACATCACCTGCATTTCAAAAGGTGCGACCCAAGGTGGGCCAAAGCTCAAAAGCATTTCACGACAAACACGGCCAGAATGGGGCTCAGAAAGCTGTTTCGGTTTGGGCAAAAGAAGAGCGGCGCCTGTGATCCTTCGGGAAGTGTTGGCGAATCGTGGGATGCGACCGCTCCGTTTCTTCCTCCGATTCACGGGGGCCCCAAGGATATCATCAGGACACCATACCCCCAGGAGCCAAGCCCACCAGCAGAAACATCTGGTCAGGCACAGAGTTCGATATCCCTTCAGTTGTGGAGACAGGCCTACAAAAGCATCAGAGGGAAGAACAGGGAGCTAGTGGAGGCTTATGAAGGGGTTCTGAACGAGCAAGCACTGCTTCAAGGACTTTCGGGAACGACAAATGAACAAGCTCGCTTTGGTCTGCTTCTCTCCTCCGCACAGGGTGGTCAATGAGATGAGATGAGATGAGATGGCCCTCATCTCATCCCATCCCGCGGATCAGGCCTTCGGCTTATCCCACGGCCCTCAGGATTTATCTCATCTCACCGGCTCATGAGATCTCCGGTAGTTTTTCCGGCCCGATAACCCTCACTTACAACCACCCACAACCCTCACTCACAACCACCCACTACCACCCACAACCACCCACAACCACCCACAACTACCCACAACTACCCACAACCCTCACCCAGGCCATACCCTCACCACTTTTCTGGGGGTTAAAAGGGCCTTAAAATATATACCCTCCGTGAGATGAGATATGAGACGAGACGGGGCTTTAATTTGACTTATCCCACGCAAAAATAAGGCCGTTTTATCTCATCCCACGGTCCTATCTCACAAGATGAGATGAGACGGTCTCATCTCATTGACCACCCTGCCTCCGCACAGAGATGCATTACGAAAGCTATGAAGCATGAGGAGGCAAAGACGGCGGTGATCGATGCTATCACATTCCTGAAGGCTATAAACGGAGTGGTGGGTCCGGTAGCGCATGCCTTCCCACCTGCAGCAATGGCATGGGCTGGAATCTGCGCTGTGTTCCCGGTACGTCGCCAAACATCCAATGCCAGACGGCAGTTGCTAACGCTGAGGTGCAGATTCTCGTTCAGCCAGTCATCGCGGACGCGAAGATGGTGGAGGGCTTGAACTACATCATCTCTCGGATGGAGTGGTACATGGAACTATCCGAGGTAATCTTCGAAGACGACTGGGAGCATAACGTGGGGCTCTCTCAGCTTCAGAAAACGCTCCAAGGCTCCATCGCGGAGATTTATGCCGCCTTAATGGAATATGAGATGATGAGCGTAGCCTACTATTTCAGAGATAGTCCATTCACCCGAACCCTGACAACATTACTTAGCTTCAATAACTGGGAGGAACGCACGGAAACCATCAAACAGCTAGAAGGCGACTTTTATCGTTCCAACTTACAATACGACAACCGAGAAATCGTTCAACAGCTTCGTAGCCAGCGGCGCGATCAACTAGAACGCAATAAGGCAGAGCGGAGAAAAAGATAGAGCAAGATTACAGGCCGTTTTTGTCACGGCGGTTGCACCGTGACCGTCGTTGATCCAGTGATGGAGCTTGGCCCGTGCTCTGCACGTGCCAATGCGACTTGAATGACTTCGCATCTCGCTGCCGCGAGACCTGTTTGTAGCTCTTTGAGCTACGTCTTGACAATAGAGCCTGCCCGTACCCGACGGAATAGAGCCCAGACTGTAGCATAGCCGAATATTACTGTCATTATTCTGTCCACCTGTCCTGCCCGTGACAGTTTTAAAATAACGAGCTATAAAGAGTGGATACTGCTCAACCGAGAGCATATTCCCGGCACATACAAATGGTTTCAAAGATATAAGAAGTTTAAACAGTGGCTGAAAGAACTACGGGGGCTATTACTCATGTCGGTTAACCCGGGATATAGGAAGTCTGTTTTATCTCGGTATTATATTAAGAATATTCTCCTGGCCTAGTATCCTAAGGCGATAGTTGTCACGAATATAATGTAGACACCCGAAAGGAACAACCAATAGGAAAGAGGAGGCACGGCAGCCAATCAAGAGAAAGGAGGATGGACCAGTAAGAGGTGGATCATCCGGGACATGAAGGAATCATGAGCGATTCCCAGGAATCACTCATGATCCTTAGGAGTCGGTCATGATCCGGGGAGAAACAGAATGATCTAGGCTTGGCATTAGGTCTATATATACGGAGGAACTAGATAGCTTGCAGATAGTTCCGCAGTATGCAATTCACAATTGTATTCACGGTATCTTGTGTTGAGACATCTTGTTGTACACTGTTTAGCTGCACCGAACCAATTGTCAGAAGTTACCTTCAACCAGTATCCCTTTCAGAGGTTCTGTACAGGGGTTCGTCACAACAGAGGTTCGTCACATATAGGTAAAATTAACGTTGTTTTAAAATAAAATCAAACTGAAAAAAATTAGATAATCGATAGTTATAATTTAAGTAATAATTAATAAAAATAAGCTTAAATCTTTTATTATTAAATTGAAATACGAAAAGTGTCTAAGGTAATTTAATTAGGTATAGAAAGAGGCTTTCTAGGTATAAGGTAACGGTGAAAAATAATATCGGGACGATACGAGATTAGCAGGTAAAAGTATTAACGGTCGGTTAATTATCGAGGGTCGAATATATTTAAAAGGTTAGCGTATAGATATTTTATAACTTTAAAACCCCACCCCCTATTATTTAAGGAAAGTGCCTTTTGCCTACGGGGATTAAGTCTTTACAAGTAGATAATAGTAGTTATAATATAAAGTAAGCTAAATATAAGTGAAAAAGCTTAAATCCCTATTAAATTAAATTAAATTAGGCTTAAATAAGAAGTTAGACCTTTGCGTATATGAGGGACCCTCCTTTAATTGTAAGTTTACTGGTTAATTAAAACCCTGGGTTTTAAAGGCTTAGGTTAAATGGTTTAGTTAGGTTTAATGCTTTAGTTAGTGTAAATTATAGTAAAATAAAGAACGATTGGCTGCAGTTAACCGTTATTTTACAGGGGGTACCCCAGTAATGTACTTACGGTAGAGGAATGTGAGAATAATTACGAGGAGCTCTTTGCGACGCTACTCAAGAAGGGATTGCAGCAAGCATTGTTCTTCGGCGCAGCGAGAATGGACCTGAAGGCGCTCAGCATAGTTTTATCCATAGATCCATCTGCGTTGTTATCAGCGAGAGACCGTCTTTGGAGAACTCCTTTGCATATAGTGGCTGAGAGAACAGTCGAGGCGGCATGCTTCTACAAAAAGCCAATCTTTACCAGTCATATAGAAACTGTTGCACAGATGGGCTTTGACGTTCACGCAAAGTCTGGTCTTGGCTGGACGGTTTTAGACCATTACATGCACAAACTAGGGTGGTACCTCGATCCTCACCAGCACGTCAACTATCGTCCCTCCAACCCCGCCAGCATTCTGAATGGTATCAAATACCTTGTCGGTAGCGGTGTGGCCTGTCGAGAGTCAACAGCACACAGACTGGACCCGCTGGATGTGGCGGTACTATTCGAGCCCCACCTGCGAAGCCCTGACTTTCCAGCCCAGCCGTTTGGGCCGGACTTCAGCTTCCAAGCACTCAAGGACTCCAAAATATTGATTGATGCTTTCAAAGAAAGCTCGATAAAATTCATGCTTGATCATGGTAGCGACCTATCGAACGGCAGAGCTCTGCGGACTGCAATGAGACACGGGAAGCTGTGGAGTCTGCTTTTTCTCCTGTTTGCCGGTGCAGACGTTAATAATAGAGCCCTTTCTCGCAGTCCGCTTGGTTACGCTATTCACAGGGGGCTTGTGGGCGATTCCGGGCCGGTAACCAGCTCAATCATCCATCAAGGTCTTTCGTTATCGGCATAAGATTGAAGGGCTGGAGAAAACGTTGACCAGTGGGCGAAAGGCGCTCGAAGATCACCTTCTGGCTGAGACCTGGTTTGTCATGCCAGAACATTTAGCCCAAGATGTCATTCCGCTAACACAAATACACCGCAGCACACAGGTGAAAGCTCTGGAGATACAGAACACAGAAGGCTTTTCGAACCTAGACAGCACCTTGCGTCACTTCATCACCGCCCGCTCACAGGGCCACACCCAGCTGACACAACTGCTCAACAATCAGTTCGACAACCTTAACGCCAAGTTAATACGCGAGTCAAACCAGACACAGCAACAGGTTTCCGAACTCTCTACACGCCTGGAGCATGAATCAGCTAGTCGCGCCAAGCATGCAGACTTTGAACGGTTTCTAGCAAGCTTGAAATACCCCAGGATGAACGAACGAAGGAACAATGTGGCCGACAGTTACACAACAACGTTTGAATGGGTGTTTAGAACCTCAGCCAGCGAAGAAACGTGCGACCAGTCTTCTATCGAAGGCTCTGTGGATGGCGATGCAGGGTCTGACACACTTAGCTACAACGAGAGCGACATCGATAGCTTATATGATGATTCGAGTGAGGATGAAGAAGTGTCAGTTGGGCTCGTTGAATGGCTTACATCCGTCAATGACCCACTTTTCTGGATCAGCGGCAAACCAGGATCTGGAAAGAGCACATTGATGAAGTTTCTGCTTCAAAACCACCGGACGAGGAAACATTTAGAGTTGGCTTACCCTGGAGCTTTAATCGTCCTCCATTTCTTCTGGCTGGCTGGCCAGGACATGGAACGAAGTATCAAGGGCCTCCTGTGCTCCTTACTACATCAGTTGATCAGCGAACGCGAGCAAGGGTACATCGATATCGTCCAACACCTTGGCTTTGGCAAAGTGAAGTTAAAAGAGGGCTGCAGTGATTGGTCAACAAAGGAACTCCAGGAAACAGTCTTTCATGTTCTCGCAAGCTCGTCCGCGCCGGTTCTCATATTCCTCGATGGCCTCGACGAAGTTGATCCGTCCGACGGACCGCTTACACTCCTTAAGCTTGTCAATGATATATGCGCGCTTCCAAACATAAAGGTCTGCACCACAAGTCGCCCGGAGCCAATATATAGTCGACAATTAAGCATGAAACCTTCGTTTCGAGTCCAGGACCTTACAAGCCACGACATTAAGAAGTATGCAAAGGAGCACTTGCGATGTTGCACAACGGCTGAGTTCCGGCATTCGTCCTCCTTCCGTGATTTGATTGGCGAAATTGCCGAAAGGGCAGATGGCGTTTTCTGTGGGCGGCGCTGTCCGTGAAGAGTCTTCAAAGGGGTTTAGTTCATGAGGATTCATTGGATGAGCTTCAACGTCGACTGGACGCGTTACCTGACGGCCTGAACGCACTGTATCAAGATATGTGGAACCGGCACAACGAAGATAACCAGGTATATCGCGAAGATGCCGCGAGGTATCTTAACCTCATCCTCGATAATAAGAAGTTTCACATGTTGCTCGCTTGGGCCGGGGTTCGTGCCACCGCCATTTTCTAGCCAACACTATCACGTTACGATCTGCAATGATAAACGATCAAAGCAATTTTACCGTATCGGGGGATCAGTTCATCAAGAGTCGTTCAAAGTTCGCGAGGGAAATTGTGACTCGATCTGCTGGCTTGGTCGAGATCTCCACCTCTGAGCAAGACATAAGGCCGAACATCGACTTCATGTTCATTCACCGATCGGCCAGGGACTTTCTTACAGAAACCTTAGAAGGTCAAGCAATCCTCAACCATGACAAGACTACACCGAAAGAACGTATGTTGAGTCTCATGGAAGCTTATCTTGCGATGGCCGCATTCTTCGACCCCAAAGGTTATGGATCCGAAACTCACCCCTGTGGCAATGAGAGCCTATTCTCAGTCATCAGCCAGCTAGATTGGAACATGAAGTACGAGAATAACCCTGTCGCACGGTTCCTTTCACAGCTTTTATTAAGTTACATGAATGAGACATCATCACTGACGTCCAAACTCGGGCCCAGTTCCACAGGCTTCATTCACCAACTTCGCCGTGTATGTCAAAAATCTCGGTGGGTTTTACAGGCCTTCTCTGCTTTGAAAACCGATTTCCTTGGTGTAACTGCACAGTGGGCCTTTACACCGTGGTTGATACATGAAAGCGAGCACGATGAGAACGCCTTTGGTTTATTTTCAGCCAGCTACAGGACTTACCTGATATTCTCAGCGTTGCACACACGGGCGGAGATCCTTACCAGATGGAATTCAAGATGGCACCGCACAAATGCCTTCGATACGGTGTCTTATTTGACACGCACTGGTAGCATCATTCCCAATAGTCGCGCCCTTCGCTGGCAATTCGTTTATCTAGGGGACATACTAGCATCGGTATGCTGCACGACCACGATTCTCGCTGCCTGGCTTGAGCTTTTGTTCTCCACTGGCATAGAAGGAACTGTTGTCGACGGCCACGGTGACATGCAACATCTCATTGATATTGTTGAGCTGTGTGAACGGTTCATTGAGCTGGGAGAGGACATCAAAAACAGAGTAATCTTTGTATTTGACAGGGCCAAGGACGATAGCGACCCCATCGGGATCTGGAGTTTGGGGGATTATACAGGCTTCCGTGAAGGGCTCCCTTTCTATCGACATCAGACTGGACTTCTTGTGGACCTCAACGTGGCCTTCCTTCTTGGGGCCTTTTGCGATTGGGCCATGATACATTGCCGCGACCCCATGGTGTTGCAAAGGGTGGAAGGCTTGCGGCATATAGCCTCAAATTGTAAGGAATGCCAGGCTGTGGGCATAACGAGATACACCGACGATACCAATGAGTGGATCATTCACAAGCCAGACCGCGCTTCAAGGTACCTGGATGGAATTAAGGACATACAATACAATGGCAAAGGGAAGTGGACTATCCCTGTGGAGTTTAAATCTGTCAAGGAAGAGACACAAAAGACGGACAATAATTCCACACCAGGAAGTGGAGGGGTCTCTGATGAAGCGAGGGCTTCTTGTCAGATGGCAAGACGTGGAGGGGGATCCTAGTCGGTTCAGACATGTTGAGTATGACGGCGTTCTGCCTTGAAAGGCGATAGGCATAGGTGGCTGCCGTTCATATACCTAGGTACTCTTTCTCACGACAGGTTGTTAGTTTCTTAGGTATCAAATTTATCATATGGGTAAAGGATGTCTAGCTCAGCCCTCAAAGTGAAACTCCAGTCCATGTCCATACGTATCTGCGACCAATGGCAGCCCTTCCATCTCCAAAACCTCACCCCCGCCATCACGACCATTGTCACCAAACATTCTCCAAACCTCCTCCGTCTTGACAGGACTAGTAACCAACACCTTAACCGTCGGTCCTCCCCACTCACCTTCAACCTGTCCCTGCCTCAGCCCGACTAACACCCTCACCGCATGCAGCAACCACTCCTCAAAATACCTATTCTCATAATGCACCACCCCATCCACCACAAAAACAACATTAACCTCCCTCGCCACCCTCTTAACCAACACCCCCAACAACCAACCCAACACCTCAACCCCCATCTCTTGCCCCCCACCAAGAAACTGAACATCCTCCTCCGTCACCAACAACCCAGGCAACTGCCTGATCAACTGACAAATAACCCCCCCCAACATCTTCACTGCACCAGCGTACGCATCATCTTGTTCGGTGTGTAACCCACAGAAAAAAGAAAGGGTGATATACTGTCCTTGCCGCTCACGCAGGGTGTCGATTAGCGTCCCCGCCGCGAACGATAGTCCGGATATAAGAGGGGGATGGGCACGGTCGAAGTCGCCGTGAATGAGAAGGCGGGAGGAAATAGGGGTAGTGAGCCAGGAGCGGAACTGGTCTGTGTTGAAGGCTTGTTCTGCTCTTATGCGTTGGCGGAGGGGGATAAGGGGTTGGTGGTCGAGGATTTGGGTTAGGTCGGTTAGGTCGAAGTTGGGGTTTGGAAGGAGGAGGGTGTGGGATAGGTGGTTTAGGAGGTACAGGGCGTAGTTTAGGGGTTGTGGTTGAGGTGAGTAAATTGGCGAGGGCTGGGAAAACGGCGAAGAGAGGTGAGGTTGTTGAGGAAACCACGCTAGCTGGGGCTGTGGGGTGGATGGTCGATTGGGGTGTGATTCTATTTGTAAAGGTGTGGACCATGGCAATGGGTGGTATGTTGGGGAGTGTGTTAACTGCCTTAACATGGCATGGCCGGCACGGAGGAATTGATCTGCTCGAGATGTGTCAGTATTAGGTTTCCTCTCGAGCGATAGGATCTACCACTGACCTTGTTGACTCTTGAGCTGTTCTTGGAACCATGCAAAGTCTCGCTCACGTTCTTGTTGGCGTTTCGTTTCTACATCATCGAGCATTTGTTTGAAAGTGTTCCCCAAGCTCACGCAAGTGTCTTCAATCACTTCGACAACGACTTGGGTGTTGCTGTCCACTTTGTCTTGGATAGCCTGAACGCCTTGTTTAACGTCCTGTCTGACTTCTTCAATGCCAAGTTCAATTCGCCATGTTCCTATCAACGACCAGGGTTAGCTGCTGTGTTCACATTAGGTAGGTACGGTAGGTACCTAGTTTACGCATCATGCAAAGAGGTGAATAGGTACTCACGGGCCAGTGTTCTTTGCATATCTTCCCTCACCCTGGAAATATGTGAGTTCTGGGCCTGGTGTATGAGCCAGTTGCTTTGCTCTTGAACTTGGTCCAGCTTCTCGAGTAATAGCCCCTGGTACTTGCTGCCCCGGAAGACAGCAGACGCGCCTCTCCTGGCTAGTGGGTTGACAGTTAATAGACAGGATGTATCGTTGAAGGACTCCTTGTTGGAGTCATTTAGAGAAAAGTATTACCCACCTTGATGGCTAAGAAAGAAGATAATTGTCTCCTCAATAGCAACAAATATCGCCACCACAAGTCCTATCGACGCTTCTCTGATCTTCTCGTCGTCTGGAAACGTGGCCAGGAATACGTCGATATCACCGAATATGCGTTCCAGTCTGTCCCCGTCAAAGCTTGTGGTAACCTTTTCCCGTACTTCTGACGCTATTTGCGCAGCCTGTTTCAGTGTGATCAGCAGGAAGGAAACAGTGAGATCGGGTTAATGGACAGTTACCTCCAAGATGACCTCCATCACTGTCAGTACTGGTGATAGATACTCGACATCAGGGACAAGCTTGACGACTCTCCTCGCCAGATCAGAGTGCTCAACCACTTGGCGCCATCCCCTCTTGCACTTTCCACGAAATCCCTCTTTTGTACCATCGTACATCTCTCGGGCCCTTTGGAGTTGAGCATAGACACCTTTCCAATCTCGCTGTGAGCAGATACTGCATCCCAAACTGGCCAACGTTGGTAGCTCCTCGACGGCCTTTTGGTGGAAGTCTTTCATAGCTTCACCAAATATGGAGCTCCAGAAATTCATTGCTTCAATCGCAGTGGGTTGAACTGTGCCTGTCCCATTTGGGCAAGTTTGTAGTGGAAGTGTACCTTGAACAGCGGTGCTGTGAGTGAAGACGGCCACATATTGCTGGGTTCTTGTATTGTATCGAGCGTCTGAGTCCTCGAACGCAGCATGGTACTGGTGAGCCCCGTTGTCGATGAAATCTACCGACAGTGGTTGTGATTGCAGTCTTGTGAACAGCCCTCGTTCACCTGTACGAGCCATGATGTTGGGGAAGTTGCCAGGAGGAAAGGTCGTTGTGCTGATTTCGTGTTCTTGAATGGGAAGGTCAGGTACCTAAGGTAGATACCCTTGTGGAATAACGTCCCGTGGACCCACATGGCCATCAGTCAGACATGCGGTCGGTTGGGTAGGGAAGGAGTAAGGACTCGGTAGAGGTTGCTTCCCACCACGGCAACATTCGACCCCGAAAATGTGCACAGTGCGACTTTGCTATGCTAAGCTACACAGGCTTCCTGACAGCTGGTCTCTAGCTATTGGAAGGGAGCAGTACACCGCAGGCGAGATTGACAGTCGGTAAGACGTGAGAGCGGGGAAATGAACATTGTCATGTGAATCCTGCTCAGACACCAAGAGACAAGCTTATCATGATTGACCGGACCTGTTATATTTACTACAAGACGGGCAATCGATACCATCAGCATCTAATCCCCATCAACAATGCCAACAACTACTCCTTCGGCGCCCGAGGCCCAATCCGGCCCTGCTTTGTTGGAAGCCTCGGCCTTGGGCGAACCAATACAGACCAGCACAAGTCCAAATTCGTGTCAAAGACCTTCCGAGGACATCCACGCGAATGGCACCCGTGAACTCGAACTGATGTGCGAGGACAAGAATGAGGCAAATGACTGTGGTTCTTTGCGTTGTGGCGATGTCGGCGACTGTAATAAGGTGAATTCTCCGTCGCGCTTGGGCCAGGGTAAAAAGGATGGCGAGACTACATTCGAACGGCAAAGAGAATGGACCAGAGCACGCCACGATATATCTACCTCTTCAGATCACGATAGCGACGATGGCATTGTTTTCAATTCCCCCCGCTTACACCCTAGCAGTGGGCAGCCCGTTGACTACAACAAAGCTGGCATGATAGCACGGCAGAAGATCAGAAAGCTGGAGTGGGAGCACTCCGCAAGCACCCGGGAGTGGCAACTAGTGGGGGAGATGGCACGTGAAATTGGCCGATTGCGAAAGGCGGAAGAAGTTTGCAAGAAGGAACGACTCATACAGACGAGGCCTTCCGTGCCTAAAATAGTGGCTAGAAGGGCCCAGCTTGGTAAACCTGTTCAGACAGAACAATCGGCGGATCACGGATCGCACTCCGAACGGTCGGGCGTGGCACAGAGCGGGGTGCTGGTGAATCGAGTCGGGTGGGACGTCTTCAGAACTCGCACTGCAGAGCTTGAGGATATAGCCGATCTTGATCCTCATGAGTTCGCTGTCATTGAAGTTCTAACAGAGGAGCCACTGGTGACCAGCGAAGCCAAGTTGAAGAGCCCTTCACAGCTCGATAACACGGTAATGATGTGGGGAGACTTGGTTCGACAACCCTCCGAAAACCATGGGGGCGAATATGCATCGTCCCCGGGAATACGAGGAAAGAGTAGAGGGCAAGAACCCCTCCCAGAACGGATTCGGATCCGCTCTAGGTATATCATCGAGGAGCTTCGCACCATCATTGGAGGTCGCAACAGGTTTTTACCACCGGATGTCGAGCACTACGACGGTACAACCAAGTATCTAATCAAATTCAAGGACTCCGCCCTGACCATGGTTCGTCCCTTTCGAACACTGTTCCATTACAAAGATGACATTGTGGAAAGACTGGGTCAGCTACAAAACAAACTCCACTCAAACACCCAGCTGCACTCGAAGCTGAAGGACCGTACCCGTACATATACCGAGCACCTTAAATGCCTGAAGGAGCTCATCGACACACAACTACAGCCCAGGATCGATCATTTAAACAGCAACCGGTGTCAATTAGTATCGTTTGCCGATCTTTGTTATCTCTTCAAGCCAGGTGATGAGATCATCCAAAGAAACCGGCCTCAAGCCTTTCGAATCTACGCAGTATCCAGCACTGACCATGGAGCCACGCCTACGTGGCAAGAGTACAAAAAGCCGAATGTTGCATCAGACGTGAATGAGGATATTAAGCCGCAGTTGGCCATCAGTTGCAGATATCTCGACTTTGATGGGAAGAGAGTTGGTCCAGTGACTCGGTGCTTCAAGATATCACAGTTGAGTGGTGAAAAGCCCATCACGTCGCTTGATGTCTATCCGTTGCGATTTGCTGAGACCAGAGCAGATCGTGAGCAGGGCCACACACCATTTCGAAATCGTCTAATTGACAGGGGAAAGATGTTCCTCGACATCGCGGCGGTAAGGCATATGCACTACAGCGGCTTAACAATCGGTGACAAGGATGAGGTTGACAGCCAGGTTGTCGTTGATTTTGAGGAAGCCTTTGCACAGATAATGGTACATCGTGGAGGGTGGAATTGGAATCCATTCTCGGCATCGAATTTTGTCCAACGTCACAAACACGCTGTGTGTCAGCCTGTTGCTTGAGCAACAATATCCACAAGGATTCTCCTGTGGAGAAGATACAGCACGAGGAATACATGGCAAGTTGCATGCCTCAAGATACTACACAAGAGCCCCCGATCTCTGTGTATCCGCGATTGCTCCAAGATATACACGTCCACGTTTCTGTGACAGACAAGGACTACATCATCATGTCCATGAGAGCTTGTGGGTTTGTTTTGAGAAGCAGAAACTGGGGTGAGTATTACCCGCAGTTCTTGCAAACCTTACCTTCTGTGCTCGGGACTGGGGATCCTAACATAATATACACACCTTTCAGCGCAGCTCGACCTCACATACCTCGCCCCTCCGCACTTCCCCACTGCCTCCTCTCCTAGTGCCTCTGGATATAAACCACCTTCTGGACCTGCCAGCCAGATTTCACCACCACGTTTGAGCAGCTGGTACTTCCAGACGGCCATAAGGATATGGTCCTCTCACTCATAGCACAACACTATCGTGATAAGCAGATGCAAAATGATGAAAGGGACCAGGTCGACATCATCAGAGGGAAGGGTAAGTGTCGTTCTGTTACCTATCTAGGTACCCATCTTGTGGCACAGCACAAAATCGGCTAATCTGACACAAACTACTTACTAGGGAAGGGCTTAATCTTGCTTCTCCACGGTGCCCCCGGGGTGGGCAAGATAACGACCGCAGGTTCGTATTGTCTGCTGGTGTTTGATGCTATCAAAAACGCTCGCTAAGTTAATGAATAGAAGGAGTTGCGGAGATGTTTCAGAAGCCTTTGTTCCAGATTACCTGTGGTACGTCATCTTCGTCAACGAGAACAAACATACATCTGACTCCGAGGATTAGGTGACCTAGGTGTTACGGCCAGGGAAGTGGAAAAGCTTTGGAAACCCATTTTGCACTGGCCAGTAAATGGGGCTGCATCCTTCTGCTAGACGAGGCCGATGTATTCCTCGCTGCGAGAACGCCACAAGACTTCGTAAGAAACGGCATGGTGTCAGGTTAGTAACCATCGGTCCACATGCCTTGTCTTAAACGAACACGTACTAACATGAACAGTCTTTCTGCGCGTCTTGGAATACTACTCCGGCATCTTATTCTTGACCACCAACCGCATTGGTGACTTCGACGAAGCCTTCGGATCCAGAATCCTTATAAGTCTACACTACCCGCAGCTGGACCTTCCGTCAACGCTCAAGATATTTGAGCTCAACCTGGATCTGATCCAGGATCGGTTCAAAAGAAGAAACCGAGAACTCAGCATCGACACAAGGGCCATATTGGAGTATGCAGCTGGGTACTGGACCAACAACGAACACATGCGCTGGAATGACAGACAAATTCGAAACGCCTGCAATACCGCACTCGCGCTGGCTGAATTTTCAGCCCAAGGAGGCGATCATACAAAGGTGGTGGATGCCAACGCCAAAATATCACTGAAACTGGAGCATTTGGAGGTTGTATCCAAGGCTTACCTCGGCTTCATCACTTACCTAGAGGACGTTTTTGACAAGGATGCCGACAGACGGGCGAGGCAGATGATGATTCGGGCACGGGAGCACAAGAAGTCGATGGAAAAGGGAGACCGGCAGCGTCAACTATCCTTTTCAGGTGGACTGGCGCAGGTCCCAATGATGCCTACTCATACGACTGGCCTATGGCCCCCTATGGCACAACCCCCACAGAGCCCCCTTTCCACACATCCAAGCGAGTCACCAGGCTACCCGACAACTTCAAATCAGATCACTCAGCTTCCGAGCTACCCCAGCCACCTATCTGGCCAACACACATCGCAGCCTCCGCCTGGGCAGGCATATCTACACTACACCCTCGCGAGTGCTTACCCGCAAGGTCTTCAGCCCGGCAGCACCACCTATCAACAGCATCATCAGCCTTCTACCATGGCTGGCCCGTCCCAACCACAAGCGCAAACCACTCTGCAGCCAGCTCCAGGTTGGCAGCAAGCAACCGCTTATCCCCATGGATCGATGCCAATCAGCCAGCCCGGCCAAGTAGTTCCTGGACCTCAGCAGCCTGTTGTGCCAGTGGTAGAGCCACAACAATCACAGCCCTAAGCATAGTTGCGGTGCTCCCTTTCGGTCAGTGAAGTCTTGCCTGTTAGGCCAAACCATTGTCCAAGACATATACAATGTCACAAAGCAGGAGGGTGGAAGACATATACAAGGTACTCCAGCACTTGAAAGCGTCAATGGAGGAGCTGTCTGTACATGCTTCTATTTTACTGGCCGCACGCGAAATGGTGATGTTCTGCAAGATTTGTCAAAGAGCGTTAGTTTCCGGACCCTGCACTTTTTCTCAACGCACCCTGTGGGGCCCCTAAGATGTATCATGGACTGAAACCTCGTAATTTGTATGGTATTTTTCGACTTTTGCGTCCAACTATCACCGTCGCTACAGTTCAACGGTACACCTTACTACCGTCAAACCAACTTACTGCCGTCAAGCTAACTTACGGCTATCAAACTAACTTACGGCCGTCAAACTAACTTGAAGTAATAGTAAGTAATGCTTTTTAGGGCAGCTTAAAATAATATCGTAATAAATTTTTAATAGTTAAAGTAAGGGTAGTTAAAGTAAAAGTCGTTAAAGTGAGGGTAGTTAAAGTAAGGGTAGTTAAAGTAAGGGTAAGTATTAGGTATAACGGCAAATAGCTATATTACAGTATAATTCAATAAAGCAATTCGATATTTTTTTAGCGGGAGTTAGGGTTATATATAGTGGATTTAGCCCTACAGGGTACGTTGAGAAAAAGTGCAGGGTCCGGAAACTAACGCTCTTGTCAAATAGCTATTTACCATTAGACGAGATTAGATCCTGCAATGAGAGTGTCATTTTGCTATGCTGGTCTAAAGACAGGTGTGTCTTACCACTTGCCGGGTTCGAAGTATTTCCAAATCTTTCTATGACGTGGTTTCGGGACTCAGCTAACTCAAGTTCGGTAGCCCTATGAAACTATCAGCCCCCATTCCCAACTTGAGCTGTAATAGTCCACTGCATGATGTTAAACGCCAGCTTAAATGGGGCCTCGGGGCAAGGGAAAACATTTGATTATCCGCTACTCGATATCTCAATGCCGAAGCACTAAGCGTTGTTGCTGCACCTTACAAGCCCACTCTTGTAGTCGGTAAGCCCGGTAGCCGCGAATGTTTCAGCATCTCGGCGAACATCCGTCGAGAAAACACTAAAGATTGAACCGATTGGAGCGCTTCGTGAGCAATCGTTACACGCGCTTCTATGCACCCCACATTACCAACGTAACATTGGTGTTGCAACGACTACCTTGCCCTGGCCTGACGTTGGCAAGCTCCGGCTTGGCACTACCTTGACCTTGATATCTTTGCCTAATCCATCACGGCAAACGAGCCGCAATGCTCCGTTCGGAAATTCAGTTCAAGCGAAAAGGCCATGGTATGACAGAGGGAAAGGGGAGGGAAGAGATAAAAGGAGGAGACAGTCGCCCTCCGGACCATCAGCATGTCTGGTTCTGACGAGTTCTCTTCTCCGGCAAACCAACCCCGTTCGCATCAGTCAACATGATCACCATCGGCACCCTCGCTCTCGCCCTCCTCACCGCCACCCAGGCGGTCGAGGCCCAGTCCTCCGGCTGCGGCAAGGCGCCCCCGTCCTCGGGCACCAAGTCCATGACCGTCAACGGCAGGCAGAGACAGTACATCCTCCAGCTGCCCAACAACTACGACCGCAACAAGCAGCACCGTGTCGTCATTGGATACCACTGGCGTGATGGCTCCATGAACGATGTTGCCAGCGGTGGCTTCTATGGTCTTCGTCAGTTGGCCGGTGACAGCACCATCTTTGTTGCCCCCAACGGCTTGAACGCCGGTTGGGCCAACAACGGTGGCGAGGATATCACCTTCACCGACCAGATTGTTACTATGCTCAAGAACGACCTCTGCGTTAACGAGGGCGAGTTCTTTGCTACCGGCTGGAGTTACGGCGGTGCCATGAGTCACAGCGCTGCCTGCTCTCGTCCTGGTACGTATCCTCGCCTCCATGACGAAGCCATAACCCAAAATTCGTCTTGCTAACTTGATACCTCACCAGACGTCTTCAAGGCCGTAGCCGTCATTGCCGGCGCCCAGCTCTCGGGCTGCAGCGGCGGCAACTCCCCCGTCGCCTACCTCGGTATGCACGGCGCCGCCGACAACGTCCTCCCCATCTCCATGGGCCGTCAGCTCCGCGACAAGTGGCTCCAGACCAACGGCTGCACCTCCAAGAACGCCCCCGAGCCCTCGTCCGGCCAGCAGAACCACATCAAGACCGAGTACTCGTGCACTCGCGCCGCCGTCACCTGGATTGCCAACGGCGGCGGCCACGTCCCTGACCCGAGCGGCAGCAACGGCGTCAAGTTCGCCCCCGGCGAGACCTGGTCCTTCTTCAACGCTGCCGTCGGTGGTGGTGGTGGCAACCCCAACCCCCAGCCCCAGCCTACTACCGCCCCTACTAATCCCCAGCCTACCCAGCCTACTAACCCTGGCAACCCTGGTGGAAACTGTGCGCCGAGATGGGCGCAGTGCGGTGGTCAGGGATGGAACGGCCCTACTTGCTGCGAGAGCGGGAGCACTTGCCGTGCTTCTAACCAGTGGTACTCTCAGTGCCTTTGAGTTTCGGGGGTAGTGCGGTGGAGCATGTCTTGATGGGTCTAGTGATCATAGTTTCATTCAATAACAATGGAAAATACCAGACGCCTCAAGATCACCCATTCAACTTTGCCGGAGTGGGTAGTACTTGTTGTTTAAATATCGAAGAGAGTAAGGTAGTCCTGGGCGGATATGCAGAATTTGGGGTGGAAGTGTGGGCAAAATTATTATGTTGAGTTCTAAGAATAGGGGGTATCAATGATGAAGCGAAATTCTCGTCAGAAATAAACATTAAAAGTTGACCGTCTCAATGACTGGATCTGCCATAGCCTTGATAAGGTGCATAAGGTTTAAACAGCCCTGATACCACCATCCGCGTGACCCTGATCCGTATCCTGTCGCCGCGGAGAAGCAGGCGATTGCTGACCTGGACTCATCGTCGGCCCGATGACCACAGTCCCAGAACCTAGCACAGGTCCAAGAACTGCATTTAGGTTTCCCAAGACCGGCCCCCGCGTGGCAGCTGTTGTCCCGCTGTTCATCGAATGCCCATCACTGACACTTGAGGAAGGAGGCCGGGATAAACTGGCAAAGGTGTGTCATCCTGCTCCACCTGCTCTCTCGCGCGAGTTCCCCCATTAGCGCTAGCCCTACCACCACCACTACCCCCTCCATTGCCGCCTCCATTATCTCCTCCAGCATTTCCCATCTCAATTCTTTCCTCCACACTAACCGGCTTTTTAGGCCCCAGCCAGCGCTCAGGATACTTGTGTCGAAATCCCCACAGAAGCCACAGTTTAATCTTCAACCAAAACGACATCTCCTTCCACTGCTTCCTCAGTTCCTCCTGGTCCTCGGCGTTCCTCCCGACTTCGTATTTGGTGACAAAGATCATGAGCAACGTTGCAATAAACCACCAGCATACCGTGCCGCACCGAAGAGCCCACCGGCCCAACATCAACCTCCTGAACCAGAAAATATTTTCAATAAAGCCGAGAACAAAGAGGGCTCCGACGATGGTAATCATGACGGCGGGCCCTTCTTTGATTTTGCTGCAGCGTCCGAAAGCCTGATGTGGACAATTTTTGATCCGCGGATCCTCTCGCCTGGCAGGTAACATTGTTTAAGGTAGTACTCGATGCCCCATGCATACGAATCTCTCAGTGCCTCGATGGGCGCGTGGCGCAATGTCGGTTGGTTGTACGTGTAACGTCGCAGATGTGTAGTAGGAGGTTTCGGTGAGTGCCACATAGTTGTCGGCGGAGTAAGCCCAAATAGTTCTTGTAGATGTAACAATAGTAGGTTCTTCGGCGCTGGCCTTCGGGCCCAGAATAGTGGTGAGCTCTCTTGGAAGTCGTCCAAACTCCTCGAGGTTGATCGCTGTCGTGTATTCCAAGGGGGTTGGACAGGTGGTCGGGGCGGTGTATGTCAGGTTGACAAGCCATTTTGTCGTTCCCTCCACCGTGTGGGTGTAATAGTAGTCGAAGGAGTCCGCCTCCAGCTCGGAGGGGGGGAGCGCGCCAGCAGGATAATAAACCTCGAGTACCTCCAAATCCCACCCGTTGTCAGTCTCAGTCGAGGTTGTTATCGGTGTTGCGTCGGGTGGCTGGGTTGTATGTGTGGCCAACAAAGGATATCCAAGTCGCGTTGTGGTGCATGGTTGATTCGTTGCACCAGACTCGTCGCACCCAGAAGGCGAGGCAACTTGGTTTAGGACATATATTTGTGTGGCAGTCCAGAACCTCGCCGCTGCTATTGGGTACAGGCTGGCTGTTACCACCAACCGTGCTAAAAGGCCTATCCGTGCCATGGTGAAATGTTACTGGTCGAAGCACTGACACCAAAAGTGAAGGGTCACGATCAAGGGCGGCCTTCTGGCGCATTTAAGACGAACACCTCAGGCGTCCTCAGTCAAGCAAACCCAACCAACACTGCCAGCTCAGCCCTCTTATTATTGGACCTTGGCAAGGCGAATATCAAGGGTTGGTTCTCGGCACAAAGCTTGGTGGCTTCACGGGAGAAGCGAAATGAGGGAGCCTACTTGACACTAACAGAGCGTCAGCTATTTTACATGGAGACGCGATAGTATTGACCGTAGCCAAAACAGAAAGCATGCACTCCCAAGCTAGCCCCGCCAAAGTAGGTTAGCATGAAGGCTTTCTTTTCGCTCTCGATCCAATGAACAAACTGCATATGCCCTGCACGGTTCTTGTGTTTTCCATAGCGCGGGTACATGCTGGCATGCTGCGCCACAGATAAAGTTGACTTCAAACCTAACCCTGATTATGACAATTACCCCTGAACCCCTTAATGGAAGACGCAGGACATAGCAATGAGCTTGAACACAAACAATGGTAGTGCTCATCTACAATCTCTCACACTATGTACCATCTCACCGGATTTGCCGCTGACGAACGACACTTTCTATCCGATCAAAGGCCTACTCTTGTTCTCGATGAAGTCGGCACGCCATGATGTAGACAGGCTTGCTTCGGGATTCGTAAACTTCTGGACGAGAGCCTTGATCATTTGCTTTCGTGGTGCTGGCATGACCAAGGTATCGATGGCATTAGGGTTTATATTGGGCTCAAAGCAATAAGCCACGTCAAGGGCTTCTGTTGCAATTCATTATTCGTCAGCAAGTGCTCTGGGGAGGCATTAACACCGTTGAAGACATACCCCAGGTTCTGGACTTCAGCACAATGCCGTACAAAAGCGAGTCGCACAGCAGGTATCTGTGGTTGGGATCGTGGTCTCCAGATCCCAAACTGAGATCCTGAACACGAGTGGGGTCTAGCAAATCGTACGACGCATAAGTGAAATTTGGCGGAGGATGAGCTCGTCTTCCGTAACTGGTTAAGAGCATGTTAGACGAGAGGTTTCTCACAGGTCAGATGGGTGGGCGTAGGTAACAAGGTAGTCTTACCATTCTTCACAGCCACACATTGCCAGATTGTGTCCGATGTCGTTCGTATTGCAAATCTCGGGTGCCGCCGTAGGCTATTGAGCGTAGTAAGCTGAGGAATCTACATATACCCTGCCGTTGAGCTAGGTGATGGTGGCAGTTCTATCAGCAATGCACTGAAACAGCTGGAATAAATCCTGGTATATACTCACTGGCCCTGGGTTGGTGGCTTCGCGTAAAGGCCCACGACGCAACCCTTCGATCAAGGCGCTCTCCGATGGTTGCGGCTCGTCGCGATTCGAGTCGTTGTTTTGGTCTGGAGTCTAGCTTCCAGCGAGCGTTGGTCAAACAGCTCGCCATGGTAACGCATCTGCTTGCCAAGCAAAAGGTTGTACCACTTTCTACCGTTCTCTTCCAACTGTCTTTTGGTCTTGCCGCCATCAGTTTTGTCACGATACTCACAAGGAAACACTTTCAATGAAGTAATTGCACGTTCCCCCCCAAACGGGGGAAGAACAACCTCAGTCGAAGTTCTGCCGACGAACCGCCCGTCGTATCTCAAAGACCACAGCTTGATTTTGTAGGGTTCAAGGCGTTGCTTCACGTCGGAAAGTATGGCAGGGTCTGATACCACCGACTGTACCACATAGGCCTCAAGGTTACCTCGGAACTCGAGGTAGACAGTAGTGCCAGGCTTGAACAAAAGCCAGAGCATCTGGAAGGTGCAGAGATCTTTGAGATGCAGGATGCGTTCAGCATCTATCTTGTCCTTGTAAACATTGGTGTGGAGATAGTCGAGGAGTAGTCCGAGATGTTCTGTGGTCTTGGGGTCCAACGCGCTATCCTGTGGACCTTGACGCAAGCTCTCAAGCTCCCTCAAATGATGCCCAATGACCGCATACGGCTCATCAAGCTCCAATGATTTCCCTTCTAGATCAATCTGGGGGTAGTAGCGGACAACCGTGCGAATAGCGTTGACGAGAGCTTGCGATTCGATTATGATCTTTGTCGCATGCACATTCACAGTGATGGACGCGTCACTCAGGATATGGGATAGCCTGTCGAGTCTCGATTCATCTGAGAGGTACCTGAAGGCCTCTGGTGAGTGAGAAGTCTTCAGCACGGTCACCACGCCAAATACCGAGGCTTTGAACTTCAGGACAGCGTGGCGGGCGACATCGAGGTCAAAGGTGGTGGGATGGGGTTGTGTGCCTATATCTCCTCCTTCTCTGTCGAGGTATTGCACCGAGTATGCCACCATCGGTTGCTTGTTCCCATCCGCTTTCTCCTCTGGAGGCGGAATGTGGTCGAAACCTTTGCGTCGATAGATATCCATGCGGAAATGAGTGAGAACTTGAGATTTGTCCAGAAGAAAACACAAATGGCAAACACAAAAGAAATGCAAAGGCTTGTTGTGGCGCTGTACGTCCAAGTGTTCAAATTCCTCTGCCACGCCATGTCCTTCTTCCATAAACGGCTCAAGAGATTTCTGGCGTCATTCAACAAAAGATTCTATGATAAGACGGTCAAGGCCATGGTCGACGGTATCCAAAAGACAATCGGCGACATCCGCAACGAGGCACAACATACGACTGAACTGCGTATCGAGCACATGCACCAAAAAATGACCGATATGGAGCCAATTTTGGTAAGGCTGCAACAACTCGGAGTCCAGACCCACGCGGACACGCAACAACAGGTCAACGTGAAACTTGTTGTGGCAGCAATTGGGTTTCAGAAACTGGGCGAGAATGCTGTACATCAGCTTGAAGGTATCGAAGACCAAGTCACGCACGGTAAGTTGGCCATTGTCTATCATCCTAAACCCACGAAAGGGCCACGGGGCCACGAATGTGCCGCGGGGCATCGAATCACCGTTGTCACACAGAATGTCAGCTCACTTTTGAGTCGTCGCCTCCATTGCCTCTCCCGACTTCTACCCGCCTATTTAATGTTGAGTGTGGTAGCCCACAACAGCAGTTTTACTTCTGCATCTACCGACGAGTTCCAACATTACAGACATCACTACGCAGTCTCCACAACAATCCTCCAACATCCCGCCCGCCTTGACAGTTGACGAGTCAGCCAACAACCTAGAAATGCCCAAATCAAACGCTATGGCGAAACTTCCCAACAAAGGGCATTCGACGAACCTGACAGAGGGCATGACAACCAGTGGTAGTATCTTCTGTTTGACCACATTTACACCCATAGAACTTAACTGACATTGCGATGGCCGGCAGAGACCACGATGCCCGAAGACTGGCGAATCCAACAATACACCGAAGCCCTCAAACCCTACATCGAGAGACGCTGAAGAGTTCCATAGAGCCCAGTCCAACCCACAGACAACCATGGTTCCGCAAGACGTGTACGCCGAACTCAGCCGCAGGATATTCCGGATCTGGCTCCCGGATGATGTGGGTGGAAGGCCCGGACTCCCCTGGCAATCCTTTCCTTTCCCAGGCCGCCCTGAAAGCCGTCGATGGAGTCATGAACGCCGGAATCCCCTGCATTTCGTACTTTTGCAAGTCCCGATATAGCTTCGCCGGCAGTGGCAGAAGCGGGAGCAAGTCAGCATTATCCCATAGAGACGCGGCAGTCGTATGCCTCCTCTACTCCATCATCCGCCAACTTGCCTGGGTGCTTCCCAGAGAAGGCTTCAAAGCGGGCAAGAACCTTGACGGTGACCAATTCGCAAAGCTCAACGGGACCTTGCACAGCCTTCCCACCGCGTTGAACATCATCAAGGCACTCCTCGAATACACACCGCCTGTAATAAGTTGGGTCATTGATGGGCTGCAGTTCACAGGGGACAAGGAGAGCATGGGAAAACTTTGGAATTTGATAACTCTCCTGCGCGAGCACATGCAGGATTCGAGACGGGTGTCCAAGACTCTGTTCACAACTGATGGCCGGAATCAAGTGCTGGTGCGCGGCACAACGGCGCGGGAGAGGGTGGATGCATTGGGGCTGGTTCGTGCGAGGGGAGGAAAAGCTTTTCCGGGTGCAGTTTACATGTAACGTATATTAGAAGCGAGTCGTACATATAAGCGAGTCGTACAGTCTCCACCACGACGCGTCCTCCTTACACCTAACATCAATTTTTTCCACAACCCAACATACCTCCTACTTCAAAGGAAGCCAGGATACTCTTAGCCCTTGAGGCTCTCCAAAAGGACGAAAAATTAAGCCTCCGAGCTATAGCTAAGCTTTACAACGTACTACCTATAACTCTCTCTAACCGACGCGCCGGCCGGCCTATACAACGCGATACTACACCTAGATCGAAGAAGCTTATTTAATCCGAAGAGGAGGCTATTATTTACTATATTATTAAACTATTTACGCGAGCTTTTCTATTAAAGTTACGTAGTGTGGAAGATATAGCTAACTAACTATTACGCGTACGCGACGTGCCCCCTATTGGTAAGCTCTAAGTATATAATTTTATTAAACGTTAATTATAGTTCTATATACGTTTTACGCGTAAATATAATTACTAGAGAATTAAATACGAGGATCCGAAAATTATTATTATATAGTTTATATTTATACGGAATATTAAAATTAAGTATAGTATTATAAATAATAATATTTATAACTTTAACGAAATTAAGTTTATAATAAATATTATTTTCGTAAGTATAATAATTATAATCTCGGACGGCTTTAATAAAGTAAAATTAATTTAGTTTAATAACCGTAAGTGTCACAACCTTAGTACAGGACGGTTGTGGGGCCACGGGAATAAGGGGCTAATCGGGAGAACGTATAGGGGAGCTAATTACAGTAAAGGTAGAGTGATTAGTGTGATTAGGGCACTAAGCAGACTAAGCAGAGGTAATCAATGTAATTAGGGCACTGAGCAGACTGAGCCGAGGTGATTAGTGGCCTTAAGAGACTAATTACGGCTTGGCATAAGGACTATATATACGGAGGAACTAGCTAGTGTAGATAAATAGTTCCGCAGTATACAATTTAAGCTTATATTCACGGTATCTAGTGTTTACATTAAGATATCTTATCGTGCACTATTTAGCTGCACCGAACCAATTGTCAAAAGTTACCTTTAACCAGTATCCCTTTTAAAGGTTTTATATAGGGGTTCGTCACAGTAAGTAAATAATAATAATTTAAGGAATTAATATTTTCGGCTAAACTATCCCGCTCTTTATTATTTTAATTATATAATATTATTTTATTAATTAATATATCGAATATAATTTATTATTTATTTAATATATTATAATTATTAATAATAATTAAATTATTAATCTAATAAATTTAAATTAAATTTAATACTTCGATTATTATATAACGTTCCGTACGAAAAATAAATATTAATTATTAATCTTTAATAATTATAAAAATTATTATTTAATTAAATTTAAATATTATTATTAATAAAATAATATTATTACGCTTTACATACTTTTATATTTTTTTTACTTTTTTTAATTATTTAATATTAATTACTTTAAGCCGCTAAAATAAACGTACGGCCGTTAAATCGAGGGTTTAATATATATATATATATTAATTATATAAATAAATTTAAATTTCTTTATACCTTTCGCGAAATTTTTTTCGCTTTTATAATAGAAAAGAATATATAAAGTAGCTTTATAAATACTAACCTTATATTATATAATTTAAAAAAAATATTTTCTAAATTAAATATAAAGC